TTTAGCATTTTAATATATTAAACACTTTTATTATAACGACAATTTTATAATAAGCTACAAAATTAATGGTGTGTGTTGTATTAGACAAATTTTGGAAATGATTGTACTTACTTGTTCGGGCTAGTTGCAATTCTTCTATCCGACCGGCTGCTTTGCCTAAGTGGTGTTCGGATATAGCTTGAACGGCTCTAACCACGTGAGACTTAGCTCTCAAGTTGGCTTTAAGCTCAGCGATCTCTTCTTCTTTGGCCATATCTAATACAAAAAGAAAAAATACTAATAATGAAATACGGTTTATTTTCCAAATCCTCCCTGATAAACCTTGTCGAATATATTGTACTTACCGTCCTTGACCATGTTCGCAATGTCGCGTTCAAGTTTAAGTGCAAGTCCACTGTGGTCGGTCATGATTGATTGGCATTGTGCAGCTTTTGCAACGATGCCAGTTAAACCGGCCTGGACCACCTGCAGTTCTTTTTTCAGCATTGCGTTTTCTATCTGGACTTTAGCATTTTTCATGCGCTGTCTTTTCATTTTTAGCTGGCCGTGTACTTGAAGCAGAAAAACAAATTGTTCAAAATTAAATTTTTACAATTTTTTTAATTTTAACATTTACCAATGTGTTGGCGCTTGACAGTCGCCAGTGTCATTTTAAGACTTTGGTTTTCGGTGACAAGTTTTTCGTTGTCGTTCTTGACATGTGCCAAATTTGATTGAAGTCCTTTTAATTGATCTTTAATTTGGTCTCGTTCTTGAAGCACATCATCTATGGCTCGATTGCTTTGCAGAACATACCTGGCTTCGTCGCATTGGGCCTTTAACCCAACGACAACGTTAACAAGCTGTTGCCTGTTAAAGTTTTTGTTGGGTTGTATGCCCAATGCGACGCTTAAGTTTTCTACAAGCCAATCCAACTGTTGTCTCGCCTCTCTCAATGGCTCCTGGTCCTTCATTTTGTGGTCTACAGCTCCAATTGCGTTTGACATTGTTGAAGATACAGTTATAGTTTCGAGTTCAGTCCAAGAACTAAAAATCGAAGAATATCTAAACAATTAATATAGCAAAGAAAGAATTATACCAAGACTATAATGAAGTCAAAAATACTTTTGTTTGTTATAAATATAAACACGAAACTTAGTGTTGACAACGACGCTTGTAAACGGATAAATTTGAACCAACAAATTGTTTGTTAAATTTATTTAAAAGCTGTTTCGATTTTAAATTAGAACCCCCCCCCCAAAAAAAAAAAAAAAATTATTGTAGATGTCTACATTCGGTGTGCGCTGGACAGTAATACAAGTATAAATGAATTTGACTTCGGATTTTTGGGAAAATTGTCTATTATGTTATAGCCCCGTCGTTAATCTGCTTTAAGCTTTTAAAAAAGTGAAAAAAAAAGACAAGGTTACATTTCGTCTACCACTAAGGGTACAATTATTATTGTATTGATAAATACATAATAATATTTTATGTAAGAAATAACATTCACACGATTCATCAAATCAAAACATATTTTATTAGTACAATTATAACATTTTTTTTACAAGTACAGTATGATTTAAATTGAAATTGAAATAAAGATACATGTTTTGAACGTTTTACATTAACGAATAAAGTATAACCAAAATAGGTGTAAATGATTGAAAAAGAAAAATTTTAAAAATGATTTCCAATGCAATTGTGCAGTTAAAAATCAACATTTCAACATGTTTTTGTACTGCAGTTTTTCAAAAACGTGAAAATGCGAACGCTATAGTCATTGATAAACTTTATGTAAGATTGATATAAATCGAATTCAAGAGTATCTTTATAGTGCAGTTGAATTTCACCAATAACCGTAGTTGCTTTTTCCGATTGGCGCTGAACCGGGTGTGTCGAATATTCTAATAGTGGGATATTTAAAACACGGCATAACCTTTTGTGTTCATGTTGGAATTTTCCAGACATATAGTCTGCGTTTTGTTTAAAATAATCTGCACCGTGTTTCAAGATGATACTGTTGAGTTCACAGAAGACATCGTCGTCGTTTAAGTGTAACGCGTTAATAACGCGCGGTAAAACCATTTGGAAATCTTCAATCAAAAATCAACGTCTTCGTCTGTATCATAAGCGGCTAGTTTTGGCCTTGAGCTTATCATACGACTTATTTGCATCAGGAATTCCCACGTGAGTCGTACCAACATAAATCTAAATATGCCAACAATGATAATGTTAAGATTGCCAAACGTGAGTAATCCTTGCAACCCACTGTTTTTGGGAAACTTTACACAACAATTCATCGTTTGATTCAACGCATTCCAAGTGTCCGAATCCACGAGCGAAGGCGAATACAATTGGAATCTGTTGATGATCGCATTTAAGCATATATCATAAAATCTTTCTTTTGTGTACTATAATGTAAACTCAAACAGTCGCCGCTAATGTAGTAGATTGACAGTACGGAAAGCCAAAATGTCGGTTGGTACTGATCAGTTAATACAGGTCTATTAACTCATAAATGATATAGCTAACTCACACAAAGCCTTAACAAGCCAAATAGAGTCTGTTAAACTGTTTTTTTACTACTTCTACTAACTGTTTTAGCTCCGATGCAAAGCGAGAAGGTATTGGTTTTACTCTGATGTGGGCTTTTTTTTATCTGTATACACTGTAACTTTTTTAATACTGGACCAATTCCTTCGAATAGCAACTCTATAAATCACAAATTTTATCTAGTTGGTACTTTGGGGAGGTAAAAGTTGAAAAAATTTACTTCTTCACAGACGAAATTTGAAAAAACATAAAAAAAACGGTACGAGTTTTTAAATTACAGTGTATACAGATAAAAAAAAAGCCCACACGATATCACGATATATTATTCCTTTAAAATTAGGTCAATTGTAATACAATTTTAAAACATATTATTTCTTGGTGCTCACATGCATAGCTTTTGTAGGTAGTCTAGGCGGTACCGTGTGTTTTTGTTTCTTTATTTGTTTTTGACAATTGAGTACATAATAATACTTTGGTAAAATATACATATTTACATACTTTGGTATAATATACACCTTTACATACGTAGACTAGTGTAAAATATGGTGTCAACTTGTATATTACGATAAACCACAATAGATTTACAAGACAAACATGACTAAACTTTTTGTAGACAATATCAATATTATATTACTATCGAAAATTATAGGCTTAACATGTATAGACTTTGTAGAGATAGTGTAGAGATTTTTGTAATATTACAATTAGTATAAATGATTTATATATAATATTATTTTGTGCGTAACATTTTGTATAGCACATATTATATGGTGAATATAGTTTTATCCGAGATGACTAGTACAGTAGAGTATAGGCATAATGTAATCATAGCAATGAGGAAACGGAGAGGTCACGGGTCTACAGGAATTATTATAAATGAAAGTGATAAAATTGAATAAAATCACTTTCAAATAAACGCTTTGATGCTCATTTGTAAATACAGAACCTTAATTTAAAACTTTCTTACTTTACTGCTTTACTTGGTTTGGACTGTACTGGCTTGAAAATACTAACTACCGATTTGCATCGAAGCGTTTTTTCGAAAGTGATTTTATCACTTTCAGATTTAAAAATTCCTGTAAACCTGTGATCTCCCCGTCCCCACTATGCCCCGACTCAACTATGCTCCGTCCCCACTATACCCCGACCCCACTGTACTGATTTTTTTTTTTGCAAACATAATTTCATCACGCTAATATTTGACTTGGTTGGGATTTTGCTATAGCAAACAATGAACAATTTTTGGCTCGCCCGATGCACATTGTTGAGACTTGAGGATGACTTAGTAGTAAATATTAATGTTTTATCGCGCCCCGCTAATATTGTAAAGTATAACGGGCTAATACATGTTAATAATTTTTTATAATTTGGTTATTCATTTATATTTTATGATTCTACATATATTAACATAAAATAAATATATAGTGCTGTTTTTCTACAAAGTCTGATGAAAATTGTGAGGGACACACACACATACATTCATTTATATGTATATATAGATAATAAAAATAGAAATAATTAATCAGATAAAAAAATCCAATTTATATAGATGGCCTATAGCATAAGCCAAATGGGTGGAAAATATACACATTTGCCAATTAGCTAAAAATGTACTTTTTTTGGATTTTTATATCGGTATTTATCTAATTCTAACCCTCTGCTTCTGAGTTTTTAATAATTAGTTCTAAGTCAATAAAAAGTAAAAACCTTTATCAAATACTTTTTAGTTGTATATATAATATATACATGGATCGTTCATTCCGATACTCATGAAAATGCACACAAATTAAACAATGTTTAATAACTTCATTTGTTTTATATTTAAAATATATTTGTAATTTAATTGGAATACATGAAAGCAAGTTAAAATATTATTCAATTAATATCGTTGCAATATACATAATTTTTTTACGTATGTATTATATTAATAAATAAGTATCAACAATATAAAAATGTATAATTATTTATAATAATAGAGTAAAAGTATTTAGAAACAATAATTATTATTAATAGCATGAGTTAACAATAAATCCTGTTGAGTAAATTGAAATGTTTACAATGAACATAGTAATAATGTTTACTATACAATAGGAGTTTTAATAAAAATATAATATTTTCTACTAAGTTACTGTTTTTATTTTTATTGATATACAATTTGGAAATTACATTTTTTGCTATTACTCCGTTATAATACGTGGTGTCGGCCGCACAACATACACAAATAATAATCGTACATTTTACATAAATATTGTACATGTTGGTATCTCTTCGGGTGGCTGTTTGTCGAGTGGCTCCTTGTCGAGTGGCTCCGTGTCGTGCTCCCTTTATATGTCTATGTGGTTTACATAATTTATTCAGTTCAAATAAAAATTTCAAAGATCATATAAAATACTGATTGCGATAACCACTTACCGTGCACTGTTTTGTTTTTATGCTAGTCATCGTGATAAGGCAACTTTATGATTATTGAATACTTTCAGCTCGTTCAATTCAACATTTCAAGTTTATAGCTTCTACTGAATCTGAATGTTTCTATAATTAATAATTATATTGTTGATATAAATATTAAAAAAATTATATTTGTTGTTAAAGTTGATTTAACTTTAAAATGTCATCTATTAATCCAGTTGATCCTGTCAGGGAAAAAATTTTACAAGAAAATCGCAAGAAACTTATTGAACACAAAGAAATTGCTAGCCGTCTTAAAGGAAGTATGTAGTGTTATGTTAAAACGTCAATTATAGTTATATTTCCTAAAGTATATTACATAACCCTAATATACCCCTAACATAACCCTATAACAATTAATCGGTTGTATAAGTTCATAAGTCAAGTGTTACACACAATTTGTTTCCAATTGCTATAGTACTAGAATAATAGTCGATATTATAAAATAATTTTTAACAAATTTACTTTACCCCAACCCTTTTTTACCTGTGTCTCCTTGTAGTGTTTTTTTATGCTGATTACATATCTGATGTCAGAAATCGGCAGACTCCTCTAGTTCTAGCAAAAGTTATAGCTACTTGAACTTTGAAATTTTGAATGTAATATAACGGTAGGTGGGAGGCGGTCACTACACCATGCTACTGTAGTTGTTGGCGACACGAATCGCGATTAAAAAACTTAGCATTTTGTTTCCAATTTTTTATTAATAAATAACCGTAATCATAATTTTATTCTAACTCGGTTGTAGCAAAAAAAAAAAAAATTGATGACGAAGGGCAGGGCAATAATTGTTTTATATACCTATGCTCTATTCTGTAATTTGTTGGAATGGTGATAAATTTAAATGAAAACTGTGGCAAATATATAAACTTAACTATATAGTTTAATTTAATTTCTTTAATCATTTCTTTTTACGGAGATAAAACTCCATTTGCATAATATAAATAATAAGTAACATATATTTATAAATTTACAAACAAATAATTATAATATTATAATGATAATAACTTGTAACAATGGTAATAGTATAAAACAGCTTCCTACGCCCGGTAAAATCAATTTATGCCAAGAAATTATAAAGCTAACTTATTCAAAACAATCATAATCTAAATGTTAAATTTTTCAAACGTAAATATTAAAAAACAAATTTCTTTATTCAATTCTACTAAAATATCACAATATATAAGAATAATAAGTAAAATAAACAACTGTCTGATAAACCATACAACTAAAATTTAAAAAAATTAATGAAATGTAATAAGGGACTCACTCGCAGCTTACTTGTCCTTTAGAAAAAACTCACATATGCAGAGATATTAGTGATGGAAATCCGAAAATCCGGATTTTTAAAAAAAACGCTTTTTAAGTCATTTGAAAATCATATAATTGTTAAATACTATTACAATATAAAGATATGTACCTAAGTAAAATTTGTTGATAAAAATTTTTAAAAAAAACTCTTAACTTTGTCTATAAAATGCTTTCGGATTTCGGATTCCGGATTTTCGGATTTCAACAAATCCGAAATTCAAAAGCAGTTTATCTCTTTGGTGTTTTGTTTTATTTTCACATATTTATCAAAAAAATGTTACTTAGATATAGAGCTTTATATTGTAAAATTATTTAACACTTATATGATTTTTAAGTAGCTTAAATAGCGTTTTTTTGTGAAAATCCGGATTTTCCGATTCCCATCACTAAGAGATATACCCTAGGGCAGACCGTATTTAAAATGAGTACTGGTAGTACAATATTTTACGGTAGATTTCGTCACTATGCTCTTCGGACAAGATAAATGTGATGGGTGAAGGTATAGTACTTCAAGTTGCCCATTTCTATGATAGAATGACCTAGCTTAAAATAATTTAGTTGTATGGTGATTTAGATTTAAATGCAATGATTATTCATTGCATTTGAAAAAATGACTCTTAGTAATGCTCAGTGAATATTAAATTTATTATTGCTGAGATTTGTAGAATGATTAAAAATCAACGTTAAATTATTGGTAAATATTTCAAGTTGAGATGTATGTTTTGGAATAATAAGGATTTCAAGTTATCATCAAATCAATTCATTATCTAATACTTTTAAAGTTATGACTAAATAACTAAAACCAATTTCATGAAAATCCATGTCATGCAGGGGTGGAATGGCCTGCTGGGCAATTGGACAAATGCCCGGTGGCCTGACATATTAAAAACTAAATGTGTTATTTTTTGGTACTTAAAAAAAAAATAGTTAATACTTTTATTGCATGAAGTACAGATATTTATTTATTGAAGAGAGGAGGCTACAGTTAGACACGAAGCATAGTAGAACATAGTATAAAAAAACACTAGATTACAGTATAACTTTTCCAGTTTTCCCAATTGTCATAAAAACCACTTGGAAAAATTAAAAATGACATTCTTACTCACCAACTAGATCCAAAATTCAACAGAAAAGATCACTTGTAATTTTTTGATTGGGGCAAGATTTCTTGTAGAAAAATTGTTTACAGACAAAATTTCCAAATACCAGTGTACTGAAAATACCGTCAGCCCTAACAAGTATATGTTTTTTCACAATATACCGTTTAATACAATTTTTTCTGTTAAGCACGGTTTTTACAGTATAGGTACTGTTTGACACAAAAATTTCCAAATACCATCAGCCCTAATCTACCCTCTTCTTTTTGTTTGAAAGAATAAAAAAATACTACAGTTTATATGTTATCTATTTTCTCTTTTCATAATTATACCTGTAATATTAAACACTTAAGTTTTATTTACCTTAAGCTAGTGTGGCAGGAATCTAACCTAGTATCTTTACTCTCTTGTGCACCATTTTCAACACCATATACTACTACATACGTTGACATTAGGTTAAAAAATGTATTTTTTGATTACTTAAATAGTTAACAATTTTTTATTTATTATTAATAATCAATAAATCTCTTTACAACAAATTTGAAATATTATACATCGGCAATTGTAATATTACCTGTAATCAATTTATTTAACTTGAGAAATAATTAATTAATTTATATGAATTTTGATTAATTGAAAAAAGTGCATATCCTATTATATTCCTTATTGTCAATTATTATTTTAAGATAAAATTTTGTTTCATTCTAATTGTTTGTTCATTATTTGTTTTGTAGTGCGAGAACAAGCCAAAGAGCTTACTAAACAGTATGACAAGTCTGAAAATGATTTAAAAGCTTTACAAAGTGTTGGCCAGGTATTATTCACATGTTTATATGTTGACATGTTTATTTAAATAATGAATATGTAATAATTTAATGATTAATATTTAAAGATTGTTGGTGAAGTACTAAAGCAACTAACTGAAGACAAATGTATGCTATTGGATTATTCTACATTTAATTTTGTCAAAATGAAAGTCATTAATTAAAATATTTTTTTAATTATTTAGTTATAGTAAAAGCTACAAATGGCCCGCGCTATGTAGTTGGATGTCGACGTCAATTAGATAAAGCAAAACTTAAAGCTGGTACTCGAGTAGCATTGGATATGACTACACTGACTGTAATGCGTTACTTACCACGTGAAGTGGATCCACTGGTATATAAAATGTCCCATGAAGATCCAGGAGAAGTCACATACTCGGCTATAGGTGGATTGTCTGAACAAATTCGTGAACTCCGAGAAGTATGCTTATACCATTCTATTATTACTGTTATGAGTCCTTCATATAAAATTATTAATCAGTATCACCAAGACATTTTTTGTTTGTGTTATCTTACTATTGCTGTACATGATACATTTATAGAGAATGGAATAGGCAAGATTTCATTACAATATAGACTAATTAGTAGTCATTATTCAATCAAATAATTTACAAATTATGTAATTTTGGTTGTTTATTTTTATAATGTTTAAAGTAATTAGCCCTTAAATTTAAACAGTTTTTACTAAGTACTATCTATATTTTATATTACAATAAACAGACATTTCTATTCCCTTAAAGAGGACGCTACTATACCCCCTATTTATTTAGGATTTAAATATAATTAACATTAAAGGCAATTTTTTTAAAAATCTTAATTTTAATTTATTTTTCAAACTAATATGGCATTCTTGACAGCGATTTAAAATGTTTTTTCATCTAAATATAGCTACGAATAATGGGGTATACTTGGGCCATAGTAGTTTTAGAACAAAAACACTTATTATAAATTCGAAAGATTTCTGAGAGCAATACATTGACGGATTTTTGATAACTTAAAAAGATCCTCTAGTACTCTAGTGAGTAAAAACCTACTTTAAGTAGCTGTAACATTGTAACAAAATAAAAATTCGAAAATCGGTCAATTTATTCAGAAATTTTATACATTTTAAATTTTATGTAGGTATTGAAACTTAAAATTACTTAAAAGCACATAAAAATATAATTAAATCTACACGACCATGTTATTATTTCGAAATGTGTAGGTAAAGCGTCCTCTTAAGTAGAAATAGCAATTTTATATTCTGCGTACTACATAACCACAGAAATGAACTAATCTGCTAAAATATCAGTAAACTTCCTGCTAGGTAGTGGCAGAATTATTTTCTGGGCTTAACCATTTTAACAACGTCTTATAAAGCTAAACTATGCTGGTTTGTCAATAAATAGTATATTTGCAACAAAAAAGGTATTATATAAAAGTAGTCGGACCTAAAATGTTCAACTAACACATTCTTCAACAAACACTGACCGTATACATTTTTGCCAATAAAATAAAACACTGAGTGTTAGTTTTATAATTATTAAATTAAGGTTATACGATAAATAACCATATCAAATTTCAAAAGCTTACTATAGATAATCAACACAGAATTTATTTGTATAAAATATATATTTTGGTATAACCAAATTTTCATATAAAAAAACTGAACAAGTTTAACATTCATATAACAAGTGTTCATAATTTATTATAATTTTACAATATATGTCTTGTATAATGTATTAAATATTTTAAGTTATTTTGTGTTAAATATGTTTAAGCTTACGTTACTTTAAGTCCTAACACCCAATGAACCTTTTTTTATTTTGTAATAATTAAAAATAAATTCAAAAGGTTATTGAACTGCCATTGCTAAATCCTGAGTTGTTTCAACGTGTTGGTATAACTCCACCAAAAGGATGTTTACTATATGGTCCTCCAGGCACAGGAAAAACATTATTGGCTAGGGCTGTTGCTAGCCAACTGGATGCCAACTTTTTAAAGGTAAATGCTCGTTGTAATAGCATATATTATGAATAATTTTTTTTTATAATTTAAGTAACATGGGTTTAATGAATAATTTCTTATTAATTAGGTAGTGTCTAGTGCTATTGTAGACAAATATATTGGAGAAAGTGCTCGTCTTATTCGAGAAATGTTTAATTATGCTAGAGATCATCAACCGTGCATTATTTTTATGGACGAAATTGATGCAATTGGTGGACGACGATTTTCTGAAGGTACTTCAGCTGATCGTGAAATCCAAAGAACATTAATGGAGCTTTTAAATCAAATGGATGGTTTTGATTCTTTGGGTCAAGTATGATTTTTTATTTAATTTTAGAACTGCCCATTGACTATGTTTATGTGAAATTATTAAAATAATATTAAATGAAGTTGTAAGTATGCTAATAAAAATAAACATAGGAGGAAAGTAGGGAAGAAGAGACCGAATAAAGGTAGTTGGATGCGATTTAGAATAATATGAGGACTGCTGGTGATGAGGAATGATGTGGAAGACATAATTTTAAACTAGTGACATTTGATTTTATATGTTTTAATTCTTTTTGTTAGTCTATGACCTGTTAGGTCAGGTTGGACAACTCTTGCTCTACTAGAGACGAGTGTTGCCATCTTGGGGAAGAGGTTATGGTGTGGTGGTTTAAGGTTGCCCGTTGTGATCCGCATCAGTCGGGTGGCCATTTCTTTCTCCAGACGGTTGCCCGCCCAGCTAGAGAAACGGCCAGAGACCGAGATTCGAACCACGGCTAGTAGTAGAAACACTGCCGCGGTAACCCTCTCGGCCATGACGCCACAACAAATGATTTAATATAAATTTATTATTAATTTATCTAAAATATTAATAGGTTAAAATGATAATGGCTACCAACAGACCAGATACACTGGATCCTGCTTTATTGAGACCCGGACGTTTGGACAGAAAAATTGAAATTCCCTTACCTAATGAACAAGCTCGTTTAGATATTTTAAAAATACATGCAGCCCCTATCACTAAACAAGGAGATATTGGTATAATTTCATTAACTACTCTTAAGACAAAAATTAATTTTTATTTCATAAATTATATTTTTTTAATATTTTTTTTTAGACTATGAAGCAATTGTGAAGCTCTCTGATAACTTTAATGGAGCTGATTTGCGAAATGTTTGTACAGAAGCAGGATTGTTTGCGATACGAGCAGAAAAAGATTATGTGACTCATGAAGATTTTATGAAAGCTGTCAGGAAAGTATCAGATAATAAGAATTTAGAATCCAAACTTGATTATAAACCGATATAATCTTAAAAATAGTATAAATATTAATTTTTTGATGATAATATTGATTTAAGTAACTTAAATGAAGAAAAAAATATATACATATAGTTCTCTTTTTAAGAGTTAATTTATGTCTCAACTTTATATTATACTGTATACTTTTTTCAATGTTAAATGTGTGAATATCATTTTAAACTTCCGTTACAAAAAAAAAGGACTGGCAATAAACACAAATATGTATCATGTTTACTCAATAAACTTATTAAAGTATTAGATTGGATTAATTTCTTATTTATATATTAATCAATTTTAGTTTAAAATATATATATTTTATACCTAAACAAGATGAAACATATTATATTGTTACTTTTGTCAAATGATCATTAGTTTTCATTTTCCATTAGAGTACTTTAGCCTAAGCATCCAACTAATTAGTTTAGTTTTATGGCTGGTTATAGTAGTACAACTAATGTGAGATAACATATAATTTTATACACACAGTCCATCACAAAAGTTTTTACTGCTATTTTAAAAAAATTTACTGGAGGTGCTATCTATCCGGACAATACTTAATCGTCTTCCCTTTATTAGTGTGACAAGTTTTATTTATGTAAATTTCGTAGATAAGGAGTTTTTTGTTTGTGACTGTTTAAACGTTGTTATGGAAACTTATTTAGAGTAATAGTATGCAAACAAATTTTGTTCAAAAGTCAGTAAAACTGTTTCTGAAATGTTTTAAAAGAGTCAACAAGCGTATGGTGCACTTTCATTATCATTTCAACATTAACATGGTTTTTACGTAAACGCTACGATCGTTCGGGAATTTTATAGCAAAAAAAATGTTATTGTACTTAGATTAATTGATTTAGAACCAGCTGATTATTTTCTTTCTCCCCCCAAGTTAAAAATGAAGGCGAAGGAACGTATTTTGGACAGTTTTACAATTTAACAAAGTGTAACAGCAGAGCTGATTCCTAAAGAAGACTTCCAACATGGCTTGGAGTACTTGGTAGCCCGATCTCATCGATTCATATAGTTAGGAGGCATTTTTGTAAAGTAAATTGTAATAAAAATGATTAAGGAGAATTGGTTGTCGTTAATAAAATTAGTCTTCAACTTTGGTGACGGACTGTGTATGAATATGAATACTTTTGGTTAAGTGTTACTCATAATTAAATCTTAGATCAGTTATATTCAATCCTTGGTTTTGTACTTAGCTATAGCTTCAACATAACTAAGTATGGTCCTGTTATGTCGTCATCTTTTTAACATTGAGTTTATGCACAGCTAGCAAGGAACAAATACTCTATAGTTGTCCCTACAACTCTACACCGTCGTCTGGTGTCCTGACTCCCGCAAAAAAAACCGAAATAGAATGAAGACTGCGAGGCGAGGTAGCTACAGTAGAGCTAACATCACTTATAACTATTAAATTTTAAAATCCGATAATAAGGGAATCACTGTAGGGTAGTTCTTAAGAGTGTGTAGTCTTAATCCAATCCACGTTGAATTTCCAGTTAACCCATACTGGTAGACATTACCCTTAACTATAATATAATGACTGTGTTAATATTTAAGGCAGGTTTCCACTAGGTACGGTTCGCGTGTACGTACATAAAAATCTTAGCTGTGATTGGTTGGTACCCATAGTGCAAAAGGCCACAAATCACGATGTATTTGAAGAAGTACACTGCGATTATATGATAATGGCAATAAGTTGTAGAAATTATATAAATAGATCAGCGGAGGCCGGAGAGGTCTGGTACAGGGTACTAGACCTAACAATACGTTTGGAGTTAAATAATAGCGGCAAGATTCTAAAGTTCATGAGGAGTCCTAAATATAATATTATAGTCAATGCATCGCCTACTTAATTGAAAATATGACATCGATAACTGGGAAGTGTTCGGTCTATTGTATACGGCGTATGGATCAGTAAAACAACCTTGAAGAATTTTATCAGCTTTGAAAGATATGCTTATATTATAATATTATTAACTACCACAATTCTCTTTTAAATATTATCAGTAGAATGGTTGCCTATTTGAATCAATTGGGTTTACTATTGTTTAGTAAAGAAATGAATCGTAAATCATAAACCCTTAACCATAAAAGTAATACACTATGCGTATGAACGCTAACGACAGTCGACAGACTGAGAAGTCAGAAGGGAGACCGATCACGGGCCAATACATCCTTATATTAGATATACGTATTATACAGCGTCGCCATACCAGAAATGATGACTCTTTGTCAACACGTCTTAAAAATTGTAATAAAATGTTATGTAATGAACCCGTCTCAGTTTAACAAATTGTTAGCTTAACTAGTTTGAGGTTGTTCTTAACTGAAAAGCTATAAAATTTCTTAAAAGATGAAAAATGGTTAACTAAATATTCAGATAAATTATAAGTTGGAGCATTGATTTTTATATAATAGACTTATAGTGTTAGTGAATTTTGGTAAAGCATATAGTTTCGGCAAACTGAGGATTTGAAACTAATAAAAAACCTACTTTTTCCCTCAATTACACGTTTTGAATTATTAATTACGTTGGTAGCTTTTCTAATCATTTTACTTGAGGGATTCTTTCCCAATTGTTTACATGGGCCTTCATTAATAATCTTTAAAACTATGTTAAAATAATCCTGCTGTTTTCTTTTTTAACCTAAATTTTTCTCCTGCGGAGAAAAGAATTAAGATTTAAGAAAGCTGTGATCACTGATTGGTATTGGTAATTGGTAAATGTAGCAACCCATGTTTAGCATACCTTATCAGTTAGGTAGATCAGTTATCATTTATTTTATGATGAAGTTATCTATTCTGTGTACTAGCTGTAAAGTAGGAACACACATCATTTCATTGGTAAATTGTATACATCTAAAATCTTAAGTAAATGATCATAATGTTGAACAAGTGCTACAGAATATCGTTGTTTTATAACTTGGTAATAATCATAGTTTAGTGTTTTAATATACTTCAATAGTAAGTAAAGTACATTAATTCTGTAAATACACTACAGAATCACAGTAACATAATTATGTTTATTTAAATTTTAAAAAAATAAGATACTGTTTTACCATGTTGTATTAACGATATAATATTGGAAATCAAAATACTAAGTGAGTATTACTTGCAGTAAAAAAAAAAATTAATAAACTAACGTCTAGGAATAGGTTTTGTTACAAGAAAAAAAAAAATACGTATGTTTTTAAAAAATCTATTTACTCATAATTAATCTGATTTTTTCCCCCTTATTTATAGATACTGTTCATATGCATTTATCGTTAAAACTAAAATGGGCAACAACTTAATGATACCAGGAGGATGATGCAAAAATAGTAGGAATATTGCTGTAATCAATAATGTACAATGGAGTTTAGTTCACAATTTGCAGTTGATGTCATAGTGATCTTACTATCACAAACAATATTCTTTATGTGTGGATGGGTATATTTTGTCAAGAAGTTATTTAAAGACTATGAAGTTCATCATAAAACAATTCAACTAATATTTTCGGTTACTTTCTGTTTAGCTTGCACTATGTTTGAATTAATTATATTTGAAATAATTGGTATATTAGTTCCAAGTTCAAGATATATATTTTGGAATGTAATACTTTATAAGATGCTGTTTATGGTAGTTGTGCTAATTCCATACTATTTATGTTACTTTACTTTAAGTAATATGTACCCATTTTTTCAAAAGAAAGTTGGAATTATGGCATTAATAATTTGGGTATTATACTTGTTTTTGTTTTGGAAACTTGGTGATCCATTTCCCATGATACCACAAGAAAAAAAAGGCCATTTATTTATAGAAAATTGTATTAGTAGGATAGGTGTAATTGGAGTAACAGTTATGGCATTACTATCTGGGTTTGGCGCTGTTAACTACCCTTACACTTCAATGTCCTATTTTATTAAAGCTGTTACGTCAGATGACGTTGTTAATGTTGAAAAACAGTTGTTACAAACAATGGATGTTATTGTTGCTAAGAAAAAGAAAATTTTATTAGCTGAAACTAATGCTGGAATTAGTACATATGGTTTTATGAATATTTTAAAACGAGTAAAATCAAATGTCACCAGTGATATAAAAGCGATTAAAAGTGACGTTAAAGCATTAGAAGAATTAAGCAGACATTTATTTTTAGATACACATGATCTGCACAACACTTTAGAACGCAGTGCTTGGGCGAAAACATGGAAAGGCAAATATTTTAACTTTCTGGGTTATTTCTTTTCACTTTATTGTGTTTGGAAAATAATAATATCTACCTTGAATATAATGTTACAAAGAGTGGGTAAAAAAGATCCAGTTACCAGAGGAATGGAGATCTTAATTGAATGGGTTGGCATTGATATGGATGTTTCATTTTGGTCACAACATATATCATTTTTACTAGTTGGTTGTATTGCATTTACATCAATTAGGGGTTTACTTCTGACATTAACAAAATTTTTTTATGCACTATCAAGTAGTAAGTCATCAAACATTATAGTTCTAATATTTGCTCAACTAATGGGTATGTATTTTGTTTCATCGGTCTTGTTAATGCGTATGAACATGCCGGCTGAGTACAGAGCTATCATAACTGAAGTGCTTGGAGATCTACAATTTAGCTTTTATCATCGCTGGTTTGATGTTATTTTTTTAGTAAGTGCCATTTCATCTATAATGTTCCTTACATTTGCACACAAACAAAGTAAAGTTGATTTAACACCAAAATTGTAATTGAATTAATCAAATTTATTTTTTTATTGTGTTGTCAATATTATTTGTAATTATAATTTTTAAGTAATTTGTGATTACAATTATTTGATGTAATTTATTTTTATTTTATTTTATTATCTATGTATAAGTATTGATAATAGAATAAACATGATATTTATTATTTAACAAGAGTTTTCACAACTATTATCATTTATTTTATGTTATTAAAATTGGCCATATAATGATATATATTGTTAAATATAGTAGTGTTTCATTTTCATTAAAAGAGGTAAAGAACTATTAAAAATATGCTAGATTTCTTGTTTTATATACTACAATAGACAACTGCTATGATATCACTTTTACCAATGGGTTAACTAGTCTATAATACATTTTAAAATATATTATAATGTACTTATCATAAAATAATAATAAGAACTCATAACCATAAAAATAACTTATCATATTTTTCCTAAAATTATCCATAAGCCATTTTGTTTACTTTATATATTTAATTTAGTCTTTATTAATTAAGTTTTTATTTTTAAATAATATTCTAATTTTAACATCCACATCAGACCCAATGTTTTGAACATTCTTTGCTACTATAATTTTAGAATTTAGACATTCTCCAGACACACCCATCAGAGACTAAATCTAATAAATATTTATAAATATAAAATTGTCTTTTTGAGATGATGACTATTATCTTTTTATTATTATCCAACCATTTACTATCACAACTTACGGATAACCGTGGTCCGGACTATGATATTATAACCATTGATTAAATACACAATGTATACTTAATCAATGATATAACGGACTGATATCGAAAAGTTCATCGGTGGTTTAACTGTACGATTTTTAGCGCCTTTTGTTGGCTAAATATTTCCATTTTTTAAATAATAATTAATAGTATAAATTATAATAGATAATTATTAAAACAAAAAACAGAAATAATAACATTTCGAATAAATTTTCTATTTTAGGGGGACTATTGAAATTTCTAGGCGAGCTTATCCCCCACCCCTATGCAATATACACCGGTATTTTGTTGCCATGATTTAACGTAAATAAACCCATCGATGATCAATTTTTTTTCGATAATTTGCGCCATTGTTTTAATTTTGATTGTTAAACTTTCAAGACCAAAACGCGGTGGATATACGATGTATGGAATTTTACGGCCCCTCCACAGGGAATCGTTTTGTGTCGTCTGGAAAATGGATTCGGAAAAAAAATTGCGGGGAAATAGCTTGTCGGGAATGCGTACCAGAACCGTCCAGATACCGTGGACATCCCCCAAAATACGCCACTGGTAATAGTACTCTTACGAATTTTATAAAGTCACACGTTTCATTGGTTCGATTAATTTGCTCAAATACTCGTGAACTAGTGGTTGTTATTGCCATTGATTGGCGGACGTATCGGTTAGTTATTTTATTTCGCTGACAAGAATCGCACGATTTATTATATTCTTTAACTTCCCGTTTAAGTCCCTTCTAATTAAATTATATCTTTATTTTTTTAAATGTTTTATTATCACCAAGATAGCCTTTTTTTAACTCAATAAAACATTAGGTCAAACAAAGAACAAAACACTTGTGTAGTCCACCCTAATATATACAGGTTGTCCCGTATAATTCTACCGAAGTATCCAAATGAGATATTTAGGATACCCTATGTAGTGTATAATACACTATATATATTATATTTTTTTAATCTCAAACGTATTGAAAATAAAGTTCGTATAATCGTATCCCATAAAATAGTAGTTGCGTAAAAAATTATAGGTAGATTTAAAATGGTTTGAAAAAAAATCGGACACTATTGTTTAACCAATATCTTTAGAGTTCCATACCGAAGCTAAAACCTTGTTGGAATGATTATTGATATGTAACTCGATTTTTTGGTTGGACACTAACTTTATTTTTAATTACTCATAGAGATTTAGTTCATAGAGAACATGTATCGTATACTTACGGGATACCTGTATATTCGTAGTAGACAGTAGTTAGTATACACCAAATGTATAACATTTTTTGACTAATTTAATATTTTAAAATTTAAACATATATTATGTATATTATATTAATAGTTAATAAAATAAGAGATACTTGCCTTTTACAATTTACACAAGAAAAACAACATGAGGTAAGTACGTATTATTATGTATTACCTAAATTAAGAATTTTAATTTTAATATCGACATAAGTTCTGCTTTAGTTAACATGCAAAACAACGATTTAAAAAGCATAAATGTGTATCGTGTTAGGAGTTCTACCGTCACCGGTCATGAGGGGAAGGGGAAGGGTAGTAGATACGAAAAGAAACTTAATTTTCTATTCGCATTGTGGGAACAATTGAACTCAAACAGATTGGTTTAGACATTCAAAACAAACGCTAGTTCATTGTTGGTTTTCACATAGGAAAAATAACATTATACGGATTTAATATCTATGGATAAGGTAAGTACTAACCAAAATATAATTACACAATTGTATAGTTTATAATTAAAACAAAATATAATTCAAGAACTATTAAAAATAAAATAATACCGTATAAGGTCTATGTGTGTATTTTATTTAGGTATTTAAATTTAACTGTATCTATTTCTAAATAATAATTATTATTATTTAAATTTGTAATTAAAACTTATTTTTTACTCTATATATGCGTAACTAGGCTTAGCATCCCCCGCAACATTAGATTTTAGCCTCCCCAAATTATTCGAAGGGTAGATAAATGTAGATTCCAATTACGGAAGGTTGGAGTATACCATTACTTTGATCTGCGCGCATTACTCAACCGCACTCCCACCTCCCATCTTAGTTTTTAAACTCTAATAACATTAAAAGTAATTCAAAATTGGTTATCGACCAGTCAACATTTTCAGCAAATAATTCTTAATTTAAAAAATTAATAAAATATTTACTATTTAAGTAAATAGTAAATAGTTACTATTTAAGTTTTAAAAGTTGATAGAGCTCTGGAAAATACTAAAAAGGTAGTAATTAGTATTTGTATGTAAAATTAAAGGAAGAAAAAATAACAATAATAAATAATTACAATAATCTATGAATTTGTTCTGGAATTTGTATTATTTTATGTATTATTCATGAAAATGTATGCTTCATATCTTATAAAATATAAATATAACTTTTATTCTTTTTATAATTATATTAATACTTATTCAATTTTCTAAGTAGCTCTTTTCGACTAAGCCCTTTCCGTATATTTTCCCGATAACTACAATTTGTCCTATCCTCTGTGACTAAGTTATTAAGACCACCCAATTAAAACAAATTCTTTATAAAATATTTATTTATGTATAATATAAATAATTATATATTTATATTAACCTTTACTGACCACAGATATTTCGTTTTAAAATTGTTTTTAGTAGAGTAATTTTTCCTATGTCTGCATTCTGCTAAGTAGTACTACCTTATACCTACGAATACGCTCCATAGACCATAATTATCGCGATTTTCGTGTAATCAAGGGTTTATAATACATGACTAGGTATCATGGCGATGTCTTTATTTGTCAATGGGTATTTTTTTTAAGTTTTGTATTACATGTTCTTTATTCATATTCTTTGCATCTTTATTCATGCTTCTTTATTTATTCTAAAATATTAGGTAACCATTTGAATATTATTGCGTTGAAATTCTATCTATTACTTCCTGTTTTATAAACTTTCGATAACCCATAAACGTACTTAGCTAAAATTACAAAAATTATAAGTTTGATTGACAATAAAAACTAAAAAATAAAAACTCCTTTAAACCTCTGGCGACTAGCATCTTTACTATATACTCTTGATTATTCGTAGCTACTCGGCATTTTAATAACTAAACAATCGTAACACCGATAAGGGTAGGAATAATACATAATGTTTTATTATTATAAAGATGGAAGAGACGAATAACCGACTAGCGCCAATCGGTAATTTGAACTATGGATTTATTATATAAGATTTGTTTATTCTATAACCAACTTCCTCTTCAAATATATAGATAAGTGATAAAAGTTGAAAAGGCATTACATTTTCTGTTTTTTTTTAATTAAATTTGTCGTGGCCGTAAACAATTGTGGTAACACTTTTGAGTAATTAAAATATTAACAACAACTTTTAATTCTGGTTACCGTTTATTCAATTATATTATACACGCGACTGATAATACTACGCAACTACTTTCGACAATACTATTGCTTATCGGCGGTCCGGTGACGGCCGTATTTATGTTACCCGCGGCAGTCAACATTGCTGATAAGCTGCGCCGGGGTTTTGCTTAATGGGCAATTAGGGAAGCACGACCCGGCCGGGTATTGTCATCGCGGTCCGGGTAATAGTCCAGACCGCGGTGATGGCAATACCCGACCGTGTCAAATTATAAGTAATAATTAATAAGTACAATTATTTATTAATTATTAGTTATTATATATTATTGTTGGAAACATTTTAATTTGTTAACAGTCGTATAGTATAGGTATTCTGTATTTCGTATTAGGTACCACCTTACAACTTTTCTTCATTCAAAGTACGAACACGCTAAAAACACGAAATAACCGTTTAAAATATTTTACATTTTGTGTATATATGTGCAAGTATCACGCGATTGAACACGCAAATACCATTTTTTTAATGCTTTACTCCTGGTTTATTATCATTTCTACCAACAAAAAATAACTAATAAGTATGATATATATATATATATATATATATATTTTATAATAATTACATATATATATATATGTAATTATTATTATAATGTTATTTATTTCTAGCTATTATATATATATATATATATAAATATATATATATAATGGCTAGAAATTCTGTAATTGTAATAAATTACAGGTAAGTGTCGTTCTAGTTAAAAACTCCGAATCGGAGAAACAACATGAATAGACTAATACCTATGACCTTTTAAGTTATAGTAAATGTCACACAGTTTTTCCTAATTCCAACGAAATGTTTGACCTTAACTACTAGGTAATACTATTGAGTATGAATATTGTATACTCAATTGTAATACTTTCGACTTTGAGTAGGTATAACTCTAGCGAATTGTGAGGTATTTGATATTTCTCTACTACTTAAATAATAACAAAAATAATTTTTTAAAACTGGTCATCGACCAGTCAACATTTTTAATAAATTATTCTTAATTAAAAAAAACAATTTAATATATTTATCACCATTTAAGTATCAAGAGTTGATAAAACTCTAGGAAATAGGTACACCCATAAGAACTAAAAATATAAAAAATTTGAATATTGTCTAATATCGTAGTATTATAAAAAATTGCAACTCCATTATCATTTATTAAGTAATCAACAATTTTGAAAAAATATTTATAATCAAAATAATAAATTATAATATTAAGTGCCTATTAGACGCAATATTTTTTTAAATATAATAAATTTATAAATTATAAAATGTAGGGATTATATCGATATAGGTAACATATTTTAGTTATGTATATAATATATATACATATCAATACATATATATATATCAATAACCAGTAATTAAAGGTCTCAGTCTGTCGTTAGCGCTGAAGTGACAACATTGTTGCCTAAATATGTGGTGTACCTACGCGGAGAGTATATAATTTTTATGGTTAAAGGTTTTTATTATTATTTTATTACATATAACCATAAGTTGCTTAAGTTTTTCAATTTTCTAGTAATCATAGGGTTTTAACCTCCCCCCCCCCCCGAGATATTTTTCTGTTCGCCCACCGATTAGATATACCAATTATTGTAATTATATGTTAATATTATGTAATACCTTATGTATTTTAGATTATACCTGGATTGTATATAGGAAGTTTAAGAGATTCAAAAGATTTAACTCAATTAGAAAAAAATCAGATAACTCATATAATTTCTATATTAGACGTACCTAGGGAAATTTATCAAGTAACAAAGATAAAAACATAGAGTGTATTATTTACTAATTCTTAGATATTTTATTAGAATAAAATTTACTTGTGTATAGAAGCTATTGACAGTCCGGAGCAAAATCTTATGCAATATTTTTCTTCTTGCAATGACTTCATTCATAAAGCTCGACTAAATGATCAAAATGTATTAATTCATTGGTAATTTAATATTAGTTATTTTGTTTAATCACTATAGTTTATATTTATAACTATAGTTATATAATAGTAGTAATAATAATTATAATTAATTAATAAACGTTATTAATTGTAATTATACTATGTATTTTGGCTTTGGTCAAAAAGTCATTCTTATATAGTGTTATTTTTCTTCTAACATGAAAAAATGTACACAATACTTCACCACTGTAGTTCAATATTTACTCGGCCTGGAGAGCAGCTCAAGTTTTGAATTTGAGTAATATTGGGTTTTCGTTATTTTTCTATTGTTGGTTTACGAAAACCCAATGTTATTCAAATGCAAAACTTTTACTACTCACTAGGCCGGGTAAATATTGAACTACAGATTACCTATAGTGGTGAAATTTCGTGTACATTTTTTTTCATCTGATAAAAGCAAAAAAAAAACCACTTGGATTAATTCTGTTATTTTGGCTTGGGTCAATAAGTTATGATCTTATATGTATAAATAATATGTAATCATTTTTAATTTAATAGCTTAGCTGGAATGTCCAGAAGTGTTACAATTGCTATAGCATATGTAATGTCTGTCACTTCCATAAAGTTAAAATACACAATGCGCTTAATTAAAATGTGTCGACCAATTGCGAGCCCTAATAAAGGATTCAGTAAACAGCTTAAATACTTCGAATGCTACGGTTTATCAGAAGTAAGTATTACACTTGAAGAGTGAATTTGCCAAACGTTAAGTGCTAAAAGATAAAATTTTAACTTAATAATAATTTTCTGTGTACTACATCATCAAATGACAAGTGTGCTACAGTTGACTGTTGATTCAATTCAAACATTACAACCTAGAAATTTACATCGGTTCAAGTGTAATTTTCTACTTTTTTCTTAACCCTTAAGCAGGCACATGGGGTATTATCATTATCCCAGTCACACTGCGATTCAGGTAAAAAATATAAGTCTTAATTTAAGTGCGACCAAAAGTCACGCGCCTGCTTAAGGGCTAATAAAAAAAAAGATTTTTGAAACAGTCTGTCGTTAGCGCTGATAATTATTGCCATATTTTTTTCTAGTTAAATATTAGGTTTATCTAAAAAGGATATGACATTGTCTCCAAAATATTGTTATCTTTCGTTTTTGTCATAAGTATTTTTACTCTAAAATCATCATGAAGTGAGTAAAACGCATTCTGCGTAGGTATGTTTATGCTAAGAAATTGAGTGTATAATGTCCTATTAAGCTTTCTTGAGAATTTTCTGTGCCGCTATTTAGTGAATGCCTAGCTTTAAACGCAGGGGCATCATAAAGTGTGACATAATGGTTATCTCTGCACCTGAACTTAAGCTGCGTCCATTGTAGCTTGATCCCAGGTGGGCATTCACCCAGAGTTCTTACCACAGCCCATGCTATGTTCTTATTGTATGTGTCTTGCAAAAAAACCCAAAATCTCAATAAAAAACCAACAAATTAATAGCCATATATGCAGAGGTACCTAAAAAAAGAAGCTAATCACAGGAATACAAAGTAAATACAGTTGTATGCATATTAATTTTATTTTATTTTAGGAAAGAACTAGATTGAAATCTTTGGGACTTTCTGCTTATCAGTTAACCACAGACGAAGAATACTGTATAAGAAAACTTAAAGAAGAAAAAAAGAAGCAAAATAAAATGAATACCATTAATGATTTATGAAAATAATAAATAAATAGTTTTAATCTTAGACTACAGAATTAACTGCAATAATACACATACAATACATATAGTTAAACTAACTGAAATGTAATAAAATATGGAAGACCGATTCAAGCGAATAAATGTATCAGTAAAATATTGTTTCAATGTTATTATTTATAACATTTGAATTATTAAAATGAAAAATTCTTCTTATTCATTTGATTTTGTAATACGTCGTGCACCTCTTCCAGGTGCTTTTGGTTTGCTGAACTTGGGTTTATCAGATTCTTTTTCAGGATAAAGTTCATCCAATAAATAATGTTCATTAACTACATCATCGTTGTCTATTTCCAACTATAAACAAAAAAACAACATTTAAATTATGTAGGGTAGTAAATAAATATTTTTACTTTTTTATGAATTTGTAGCTTGTAAATATTTTCTAGCTCTTCAATAAATTGTGACTTGCAGCTGGAGTATAACATTCTCACTTTAATTGGACATGAGTATCCTGGCATTGAGTATATGAAAACTGTAAACATAAATACAAATCAAATATAGATAAACTGTAACAATCTTAGCTTTGACGGGGAGCTGAAAAGGTATTGTTTTTACCCGCAATATCTCCTAAACCGCTGAACCAATTTTTTCAAGTAGCAGGTTTACAGATTAGAAATCGTACTTAAAATGTACTTTATAAGGCCGAAAATCAATAAATTAATTTCAAATAAAAGTCCACTTGATTATTATTTTCAAAATTTGACCTGGCATGAAGGAGTTAATAAATTTTTAATTGAAATCCTGGCTGGATAGGGTACATAAAATGTATTTGATTTAACTCTAATAAGAGCAATTCTGTTCAGTCTTAAGCATAAAACTGTCGGCCTGTAAAATTTATTAGGTTTAAATGGAAATGTGATGTTTTTTCTAGAATATACATGACCTCCACACAATTATCATCTTGTTGGATACGTGTGGAACAGTAAGATTAGGGTTAAATACTTGAAATAAGCCTTATGATACACACCTATAAGTATTTTAGATTTAATTTATAATTTATTATGCCTCCCCTTCCCCAAATAAGTAAAGCGTTTATGTGGTGAAGGTAAAACCATTTTTTTTTGCTTTAACCTGAGAGACGATCAATACTTCTAGTACCAAGTTTGACTCCTTATACCACTGTGGAACAAATTTGACAACAAAATTATGATTTAAATGGTTTATACATTAGTTTACTTACAAATAGAATTAGTCGGAGTTCCATTCTTATTATGTTGATAAGCATACAGATGATATCTTGCATCATCTTTAGGAACTTGATCATTTAGTTTACTAATTGGTACATTATCTGACTTTGCCAGTTCAATACTTTCTTTATTTATATCTAAAAAATATATCCAATTACAAAAATGTAATCATATACTTATTTATTAAATATTTAAAAATTAAATTAACATGTGTAATCAAATTTTAAGTTTGCGCCAGGTGTTTTACGTGACCAAAAAATTCCAGTGAGACTTAAAGTTCAGTACTACAAGAGTGTGGGAAACCAACTATGTTGTATATTTTGAAGTGATGAGAAAAATTAGTATAAGAAAGAATACATAAGAGGTAAAATAGGTGTGGGTTCGATAGCAAACAAAATGAAAGAAAACAAGATGATGGATTGGACATGTTTGAGGAGAGATGAATCGGAAGACTGAAAAAGAGGTAGACGGATGCGATTGAATATTATATGAGCACTGTTGATGTATGTGAGCATGATGTGGAGGATAGTGTACTCAAGAACTTCCCAAAGTTTCATAGCGATTGGATGAATGGTGTAGTAATACGTAAAGGACAAACAGACATATGCCCGTGTTACAGTTTTTCTTCGTTGACCCCAAGCGCTCAGGTGTCCTATAAGAAACATAGCTTCACAAGGATGTTATTTTATCTAAAATTTATGGGAAATAAAAAATAAACTTTCAATTTCAGTAAACAGCGTAGTCACATTATGAAAATTTTAGAGTATAGCAAAAACAAAGTTTATGAATTCCTCTCCCTTTTACATAAGAACAAAAAAAAAAACACATTAAATGCTATTCTAATAAAACATTTATTTATTTAAACAATCTATTGACATAAATAAAAAAAATTAATGGCATAAATTGAAAAAAACTATTTGAAAAAAATAAAATGTCATAATGTGACTACTACCGTTTTTTCCCTGTGCCCTTCACATTAAGTTTAAAAAAAAAATTGTAAAAATATGTTGATAATAGATGCTGTGATAGTTTTAACTATTAGTTTAGATAAGTAAACTCAATTGTAATTGTTTGTATTAACTTCACCATCAATGCAGTCATCATAAATTACACTTCTAAGTTTTAACATATATTAATGTGTGCAACAATAAATTTCATACCAATATAAAATTGTACATAATTGACCTCACTAGTATCTACAAATTTAGAAAGTGCAGTAACTGCAGCTACAGACATGGGAAACTTGACACCTGACATGGTCTGAGCTCGACTATCTACTGATACAGATGTACTATGTCCAACTTCTGCTCTACGAAGTTCGGCTATTTCCTCTTCCCGCATAGTTAATGGAGCTGGTGCTTTTTGAGAAATTCTACTTTGTTCTAATCCATCCAAGGTAACATCACTCTAAAAAGATGTTTACTTTTCATAGATAGTTAAATACAAATTTGTAAGTAATATCCATATAAAGACGACACAAATACTGATGTATATGTAAAATATATATGGAGGAGGAGTGGCCAAGTGGGTAGCGTTCACTGTCGCTGGTTCGACACTTGGTCACGAGCGAGGAACCATTCGGTGAAAAGGAACTGCCTTCCCCCTTTCCGGCGACGGATTGACGACCCGTCCCGGATAGAAAATTTGTCAAGAAACCATCATCTCATTATGGCAGCGTTGGGCCTTCATGGCCCGTTAAGTTACATGATGATGATATATGTATTTAAGTTAAAACTTCTAATACGAACAAGCTTGGAGCACCCCCTAATGGAACTTTTTGAAACTTATACTGCATGTCTGTAACAATGAAAAGAATGTTCCCAAAATATTTGATTATTTTGGCCATAGTCGTATAAAATTTTTTTTACAGTATGTTTGGTCATCATTTTTTTAAATTAAATCAGTTCCTTATATAAAATAATCCTGGCTTTCTGAAAAAAAATATATGGATTTTTTTTTTTTGAAATGTGTTAATAATTTAAAAAGTTGGCTTTTTTGTGCTCAAAATTTGAGATTTTTTCTAATATTTTATAATGTGTAAATTTCAAATTAGGTTCTCCATTATAATTCTTAGAAAAACAAAAAAGTTATACATCATAATTACCAAAATAGTTCCATGAAGTTCTTCTTTAATTTTTGCACTTCCAAACTCTTGTTTAAGTGTAGCTTTTGTAGAAGCATACAACATTTTTTGACGAATAGGAGCAACATCAGGACACCAACTAATAAGTAGCCAATCATAGTTCTTTGTGTCACTTTTAACATCAAATCTGTATTCCCCCCCAAAAAAAAAAATTCAATAAAACAAAATAATTAGTTAACTAATTAATTAATTGATTTATACCGGTATAGTATATAACAAGGTGTTTCTCGATATACAAATTGTTTAATCACATTTTCAAAATCATCTTTCCAAGATTTATGATGTTTTTCATATGCTGATAATACAAGTTGCTCTAAAAAAAAGTCAAATAGATCTTATATTAAGAGAGAAAAGCAACATTTCGTACGGCAGCCATTTAACTAATTAAATAATAAACAATTGGACTTAGATGGGTGATCACAAGACATCTGTTTTAGCAACCAGATATTATTAAAAAAAATATATTGTACCTAGAAAAGAACTTGTGCAACACTTGTGGTTATATATGTTAGTAAAAAAAATATTTAAAAACCTACAAAAAATAATACAGTTTAGAATATATACATATTTTAGTATCAATGCTATCACAATCAGCGCTTTCAATAGACTGAACTGTCTCGAGTCAGAATCTAAGTTGCGAGCTTTGATGATGGCATTTCTACCAAAAAACGTATGTCAGCTAAAGTGTATTATTATGGTTAAAAGTTTCTTAAATAGAAACACATCTACTTTACTGGCCACCCTTTCTTTAAAATTTTTTTTCTCATAGTGATAATACTTTTAATGCTGATTACGAATCTGCTAACATTTTTTGCCGGACAAACTTAGTTTGGGAGTTATAGACATTTGAACATCCCTAAGATCGACATACTCTGCTACCCGCTGGTGCACATCTACATTTTATTTTTCGATTTTATATAATTGTTAACAAAGGTGTTAGGGAAAAAAAAAAAAAAGAACCACGACGAGCCGGGGAAAATAGACCCTTCGGCAGCACAGTGGACGTCCACCACCGAGTGCCTGCGTATGTCGATTGCGGCGATCTTAACATTTTTATAATACCCAAATTAAGTTTATGCGACAAAAAATTCTTGCAGATTCGTAATCAACATTAAAAGTACTATCTATTTGAATAAAAAAAAATTTTAAAAAGGGTGCCCGGTAAACTAGATTTTTACTAAAAACAAATAAGAGATTTACAATTATTTTGTAAGCAATTCTGTCATTTAATTTTAACAGGTTCTATCAAGTTGTTAATTAATACATTAAATTTAAAATACATTAGTTTACCATCTTCAATAGAAACTTTAATGGCTCGAATACTTTTGTCAGAAGCTGATTTACTGAAGAACTTTTTCAATACATCATTTGCTAACACAAAAAAAAAATTAATTATTAAATTGTATTTGATTAGTAACTTAATGAATGTTTGTCTACCTTTAATACCGGTTTGATGAGACATATTTACCCTAGTTATATCTAGAAAAAAATTACTATTAATACACAAGTATACTTTATAGTTATGTACAGGAGTAATTTGTTAAGCAGAAGACACCAGCTTATATTTTTGACATTTTTACTCTTAGGAGAAATACATTTTTAATGTATTAAGTACATATTTTTAATCGTATAGAAAAGTTAACATACATAGATTACAGATGTCAGATGAACCACACACACACACACATATATTTGGATATATTTAATACTTATATATATCCAAGATTACGTTTCAAATTTCAGGTTAACTAATTATATCTTTTATCTATGTTGTGGTGAATTGTGATAATATGAAATATTTGATTACTGTTTACTGAAACTACATTTCTCGATTAATGGACCACAGTTTGTACCGAACTCGTTTCCCGCCCAACATACTGTTCTCCCGCCTAGTCCGCCATATTAATCATGTTGTCGTTTGTTTACCCTTTACATATTTAGTCGACGTAAACCGTTCAAATTATTTTTGTATAAAATTTAATATAAACTAATTGACTAATTTAATAATTATCCGATTTATTTTGTTTCCAATGTCGTTATAAGCTATGGTTTTTTTAGTTGTGAATCCTAAGGCTGCCGCCTAGTTAATTTTTGATATTGAATACAAGGCGTTATCATCCAATAAATAACTCAACTAACAATAAGTAAACAAATAAGTTATATTATTACAATTATTTAAAATTATTGTTTAATTTATTTCATAGTTATTTTTGTTTGTGATTATTTAAAGTGTTATTTTACAGAACCAAGTAATCATGTTTTATTCACATTTCTCATTGTCCAAGAAAGGACCGCTAGCTCGTATATGGTTAGCGGCACATTGGGACAAAAAACTAACCAAAGCTCAAGTATTTGAAACCAATATTGAAACATCTGTAGATGGAATACTTCAGCCAAAAGTGAGTCATTAGAAAATTTAATAAAATTAAAGTTACTTATTGTACTATTAACGATGAACATTTTATGTTATAGGTTAAAATGGCTCTACGTACGTCTGGTCATCTCTTGTTAGGTGTAGTGCGAATTTATTCACGAAAAGCAAAATATCTATTGGCTGATTGCAATGAAGCATTTGTCAAGATTAAAATGGCTTTTCGCCCAGGAATGGTTGACTTGCCTGAAGATAATCATATTGCTGCAGCAAATGCTATTACACTTCCTGAAGTTTTTCATGACTTTGACACAGCTATGCCCGATTTAAAGTGAGTCAAAATTAAAATATTAGATTAAAATTAACTAAATTAATTAATTTGATCAAATTTTTTTAGTGATGTTGATATAGAAGCTCAGTTTAGTTTAAATCAATCTAGAGCAGAAGAAATAACATTGCATGAAGATTACAATATCAGTTCTATGGTTTCGAAAGGCACTGGTTTTGATCAAGGATTTGGTTTTTCGGAAGTTGAAAACTCAGATATTCTTCGACATGGAATTGAACACTCGTTGCTATTTAGTGAAGGAGTTGATCATCTTATGAACCGAGAAAAAGAACCTATAGCTTCTACGTCTAGTGGATCTGGTATTTTAAGCCAAAATAGTTTGGGAATTGATGCTCCAATTAGAGATGATGGATTTGGTGGTAATCTTGGTCAAGTTATCACTGATAATTTCTTTCAAGCTGGAGGTTTGTTTGATGATGTACCTGCAGCACCAATGGAAGTCAATGATGGTCCACCTAGCCCTCCACCTTTTAATACGCCATTACGAAACGATGATGATGACGATCATTTTATGCCGCCTAGTCCAAGTAGACAAAGCTCTGACGGTTCTAGACCAGCATCACCGGTTAATCTTCCTTTTCCTAATGCTGGTGCTTTGGGACTCATACCTTCTCCTGAGAGAGATCAAACATTGATGCCACCACCCGATTTAGATATGCATGATATACACCAACCTGAAGAACCAGAACAATTAAGTGACCAAAATGCTACTGTAGATCAAACTACTTTGGTTCAAAATGAAGAGGAAAGTTTTGCTTTAGCTCCAGTTGATGCTAGTGCATTAAGAGGGCTGCCAAAAACCAAAAGAAAGCGAAAACTTATTGTTGATGAAGTAAAAAATATTTCGGGTGAAGAAATGAAGGCTCAACTCAGTGATACTACTGATATAGTAATTACTCTAGATTTGGCGCCTCCTACTAAAAGATTAATGCACTGGAAAGAGACCGGAGGTGTTGAAAAGTTATTTGCTCTACCAGGAAAGAATATTCCAGCTATTCCATTGGCTAAAGTAATTTTACTTTTTTTTCATAATTAATATATTTTAAATTGAGAAAAAACTTTAAGGTTTTGATTAGTATTTATAAGTAAAAATAATAGAACTAATTATATTCTAATCTTATAAAACTAAAAATAGTATAGTGACATTGGTAATGGACCTTAATTCACAATTTGTAATAAGTAATTATAAAGTTCAGAACCCTTTGTTTCTTTACTCTTAAGCATTAATCTGTGACCAAAAACTTAGAAATTTAGAATTTTATTAATCAAAATCTTTTTTTTATTGTACATCATGATATACACCCATTAGTTTATAAATATTATTTACCACAGTAATGTGAATGCAAGAGCATTTTTACTAAAAAAATAGTATTGAGTTATTATTGCAAGAGAGAAGTTAAGACGAGCTATTTTAGTTAGATAATTATAAACCTTTGTAACACTTATCAAAATAGACTATTTATAAAAGCATAAATTATATGTTACTTGACCTATGCTTTGCTTTTATAAAACCCTAAACTATTACAATTTTTTTTTATACTACCTAATTTTGTAGTCTTGATTTTATTATCTCAAAGTGTACTTTTTACAATTATCCTATTAATATTATTTTTATTATTGTAACTTGTTACTTATCTCATTTACCATATAAATTGTATTTTTAACTTTTTATTTTTTCAAAAAAAATATAGATTGTCTAGTATAAACAAACCATTTTTTCGTTTTAGAACTACCAAAGACATCTGACTGCCAAAACACTGACAAATGAAGAATTGGATACAGAAGGTGGTGTTGAAGGTGATGAAGAAAATGTTTTACCTGCAATAACAGGGCCAGTACCAGCCCGTAGAGGTCGTAAAAGAAAAGTACCCTTAGATGATGATGTACAAAAACCTGCAAAGAAAGATCCGTTACCTCCTATACCTGAGCTACCGCATAATCTGGTATGTTTAATTTAAAAACTTAACTTATCCAAGTTACAATTTTTAAATTTCATAAGCTACTTATAATTAAGTTTTATAATTTCCTTAGCTTATGAAATAATATACATTTATTCATTATTCTTAAGGATTCAATGGATGTTGAAATTGCCGTTTCTTCAACAATAGCACCACCGCCTACTTCAGATGTACCCGAAGAATCTGTTGATTTAGAACATCAAAATCAACAAGCATTAGGATCCCCATTAAACAATAGCACACATATGTTGCCTCCTGGAACTCCTATACATAAATCAAATGAGTCACAAAATGTTGGAATGACTAATGAAGAACAGGTTAGTTTTAATATATTAGTGTATAATTACACCAAATTGTATTTGGACAACATATCTTATATATATCATTATATTTGAGAATCGGACAAACTGTGAAGAGAGTTAAAGAGAAGGTAAATAATTTAGTATGCCACATCGTAAATCCTAGTCCTTTTATGTGTTTTCTTTTAGTTAACACTAGACTAAAGTAATGGTTGACTTTCCTCTTCGAAAGCCATGCTGATTGTCAATAAGAATATATGATTAAGGGTTTGTTTGATGCAGTTATAAACTATTGATTCAAATAATTTGGTTAAGTGTGAAAGGATGGAAACGACACAATTTTACTAACTACACGACTTGTGGGTTGCTGTTATAGAACAAATTTTCTAGATGTTAAAAAAAATATATTCAAGAGAGGGTTAAACAACCTAATAAACAGGCTAGCAAATAGCGAGTCTTCAGTTGAAGAAAACGAGAGCAGATAATTTAATTGGGTCTGTTAGATGAATTATTTTTTAAGAAAGGTAGAGTGTTCGATAGGTCATTAAGAAAAATATTATAGTTTAATGAAGTATGTATTTGTGGGAACTATTGATACAAGGATTAGTAGCAGGAGATGGTAAGAAATATTGAAGTTAGAGGGAAAAAAATCATAAAATAAGTTAGTAGTTCTGGCATGGGAGTTAGAAGAGTTATATTGCCTAAATAAACTGAGGAAAAATAGAGAGCTTAGATCTCAAACTATTTACATGTTTCCTCAATGATTTTAGGTGAGGTGTATAACTTTAGCGTAGTTTCATTGATTATTGATTTTAGAAAGGCTATTGAGCAATCCAAAATAATTATAAAAAATAGGCTATTGAACTTCTATAATTTCTTGTATAAGTAAAATAACGTAGTTATTTATTACTTTGTGTTTTCATTTTATATATAATTCCTGGATAAACAATTGATACATATTTCATTTATAGAGAATAAAGTCATTTGATGAAATTCAAGAACAACCACCATCTGTTCATGATACATCTAATCAACCAGAATTGCAAAATATGGGATATGAAAACAATATTAATCAGGTATGAGTTTTGTATTTTAATATTTATTTAAGTTTATTACTAATTTGCTTAATTTTTTTTAAATTTATTATTTTTAATTTTAATATATTTATAGTCTGCTGACTTCAATCAAGTTATTATGGATAACATGGGCTATGATGGCCATCATAATGCACCAATTACACCTGGCTTACCTTCACCGAGAGGTGGAGCAACACCTTGGCGTGATCAAGATTATGATTATCCTTCTTCTGTTGGCCCTGTAAGGTTTTTTTTACCAGTAGTATTGGCTGTGGATAAAATAAAAATTGTTTTTCATTTTTAGCCGGAAGAACAACAAGCTCCACATGAAACTAATGAGCAATTTGAAGAACGAGTAATGAACAAAAGAGCCAATCAATTATACCATACCATTAAAATGAGATTTACCCAAAAGGAATCTCTTGTATTTGATGATCTCACCTATAAAAATCGAAGAAAAGAGGTATAGTTCTTGACAATGTGCATGTTTTATATTATGTGCTTTCAATAACATTTCATATCATAAGACAATATTTTAAGGTACCTGTACACTGTAGAGTAAAATCTATCTAGAGTAGACTTAGTCTAGTTAGACTGCTCTAGCTGTGTATGTACACTATAAAGAAATTTGCTCTAGATAGAAATCTCTGAAAGTGCGTAGAGCTAATCTACCTAGATTAGTCTATGACCTGTGTACATTTGTACATGATATTTCTGTCGAGAGCAATTAGAGCGTAGTTGATGACAATACTTCGTACGAAAAATGACGGTCTGAAAACGTTTTGCAGCTGCAGTCGTAGCGTATAATTTAATTTTAAAAAAACAGGAGACTTAAAAAAAGAAAAGAACGAAGAGGTTGTGGGTAAGAAATTGCACCGAAGATTGTAAAACTTTCATTTGGCCTTCAATTATCTGTCTCTGGATTCTTTCAACAATTCCAAAGTCCAGGAAACGATTCAATGAGCTCTATTGATATGTTCTCTGTCCCACACAAAATCACTCATCGTACATTCAAACAATTAAACAATATAACTTGAAACAATTACTTATAATAAAAATTACAATAAAGCTTATACACTTATAAACTTTTATAAACAATATCGAAAAAACAACAGTACATGTACGGGTGTTTTTACAGTATCCTAAGCTACTTGAGCTTAATCTATGTTTCAAATTTTTAAAAGCTTATCTTAAGAGGAATCAGAGATATATGGGTTAGAAAAACTGGGTGAATTGGTTCGTGTAAAGATCTGGCATTGCTGGAACTAGGCTACTAATATGTTTTAAAAGAAATTTTACACAAAGTGGCAAAATATGATGTGTTGGTGCTTTCATTATCAATCAATTTATTTTAATAGGACAATATTTAATAGGAATACTTAAAAATATATATTGCTTATATAATATCTAATGATATCTAATATAATAATGATAATATCAATTTTTGGTGGTGTTTTAAATTTTTGATAATATAAAAAATATATTTATATTTATAGAAATAAAACAATTTTCTAATTTTAAGATAACTAAACACTTTAATTTAATTGTATTTTACCAAAAGTTGAAAGAAGACATAACAACTTGTGCCATCTTATCATAGATTTAATCTATGGTATGGTCTATGCATGTTTAAGAATAGTTATGTGGGACGGAGTGGTTGGACAGATTAAGGATGAAGTGCTGCCAATTTGAATCCGGCCACAGGCGGTCTCGCTTACTGGGCAGGACAACCTGACTAGGAGTAGAGACTGCTCTCCCTTCCCCGTGCTATGTATGGCAGAAATGCAATGCGCCCCACTCGGCGACCGAACTAGGCCCCAACAGGGCCTACTCCCGGTCAAGATGCCATAGGAAAAAAAAAGAATAGTTATGGTGTATTTTAAAAATTGTTGAAAACATAATATTGAATACAATTTGTGATTATTATGTGTTTTTATTTTTTGTCTAATTAAATTTCAGGCTGCACAGAAATTTTATTCAGTACTTGTACTAAAAAAATATAAAGTTTTGGAACTAATTCAAGCGGCCCCATATGAGCCTATTCAACTTGTTAAAGGAGCATGTTTTACGGATCCAAAGCTATAACCTTTAAAAAATAAAAAAAGGAATTTTATATGTATGATAATGATTGTTTTAAGGCAAATGCCTAGTACAATTTACACTTTATGTGACAAAAAATATTATTAAGGTTTTTTTAATGGAAAATCTATGTATAAAAATGTATTTCAGGGAATTTCATTTATATTTATTTATTTTAATTTTTGTTTAATGTTAACACTAGGCAATTAAATTGTTGTCAGAAGTTATTTTGAATTGTAACTTAATTTTACATTTAACCTAATGTATGCTTACTGTAAAATTATATAAAGGCATCCCATTTTAAGTTAAATTATGTTTTGTAATATGGTAGTGAGTAATTGTTTAACTCTTAGTTTGAGATTATATTTTCACTATTGTAAACTCGTATAAATGTTATTTCATGATTGTATTTTTCTCATAAATTTTATCTCCAATACACTTTATTAGTTTATAATGTTAATTGTATTTATTTATTATTTATTTACATACACATGTATATACTATTTATCATGTGTACGCCTAGCAAATAGTTAAATTTATAAATAATAACTTTTTGTATTTTTAAACTTTTAAGTAGCCAAGTCATGTTTTTATATTGCTTTCCAAATATCTATATTAAAATTTGTTGTATTTAAAATGAAAATATTTAAATGTTTTTCTTTCAATCTATTTATTTTTTACAAAAAATAGAATACTAGCTTTCACTAAAAAAATAAATAATTATCAAAATGTTATTTAAATACAAGTTCAAAAATAATATTTAATATTCAAGATTGTAATTTTATTTTTCATATATAATTTGGTTTTTAATATAGTTTATATAATATACTTGTGTGTTAATATTGATTACTTAATATTAAAAAAAACTACTTCTGTAAACTGCGAAAATACTTCTAGTAACTAAATTGGCTTTGGACATTTATGATATGATTCTAATATCTGCTGTTTTACCAATAGCATAAATTAGTCAGAAGCACCATTTTGCTAAAATAAAAAATGTGAAATGCTTAAACACTGACAATGTAATAAAGTGTGACTTACGATATAAATATATTTGTAGTGCAAATTTTAAAACTGATGGTTCTAAGCATACTTAAACTCTCCTCCCCTTAAGTTTGTGTAAAAGAAAAATGTACTTATTAAAATTGTATTATTACATTTACAAAAAAAATCATGATGCTCAATAGGCCTTGAAGGCCTAACATTGCCATCATAAGATTGTGTGACAATGTAAAAAATCAGAATAGATATTACATATTGTTACCGAAGTCGTGTACGTGGAGAGTGTATTATTTTATGGTTAAGGGTGTTTTAAATATTATTTTATTATATATATATATATATATATATATATATATATATATCCATAAGTTGGTCAAGTTTTTTCTAGATTACAAAATGTACATACATTTAACATTTTCTATTACAATTGGAACACAATTAAAAGTGGCTATAATTTTGTGGTACATTTTTAAAAATGGAACATCAAGGAAGAATTGTAACGATAGTACTCATATTTTATTTCGTACAGTAACCAATATTAAAATTTACGTTACTAAGCAATAGTATAATATATAATAGTAGGTTGTCCTATTTATCATACAATATTTAAGTTGTAATTGCCACCTAGCGATAATAAATAATGATCAAAAATCAATTGTGATCATTGGTCGTCTATATATCGTATACAATATAATATAACATAAGAAAATTGAACTAAAAGTTTGTACACCAAAATCAAAAACTACCCATTGACGTACGAGTAGTCGCCGCCACCGTAAACGATTATTCACTACAAAGTCTTTGAAATAACCGTGGTGGTCGTGCATTTTTTCCGTGATCTCTTTGATATTCGTTGGCCGATAAACCGCCAGTATCGCTAGCATCGCGTCACGGAATTAATGTCAGACGAGCCAACAACAACAAAGCAATCGGACGTAATCGGAGTGATTTTTTAATTTTTTTTGTTTTCGTCGATTTTCTCCAGTTGGTTGGCCGTTATGTGAACATTAATATATATCCGGAAATCCGACTCGTTTATTTGAAATATTAACTACCCGTGCGCGTCCAGGTACATCCGACGCCTTGTCAAAACATTTAAGAGCTGAATTGTCCGGGGAGTCGTTCGCAAAATGTCGAATGTCGCCAATACGTTCAAACATGATTACATAGGTGGTGGAAAATACCGTGTCGTCCGGAGGCTTGGCAGTGGTTCGTTCGGCGAGATCTTTCTCGGTCTGAATGTTATTAATGGAGAGGTGATTATTATATTGGACATTAGATATAATATAAGTATAAGTAGTTTAGGTTTCTGAGCCCTACTCTAATTAATGCACGAGCTATCCTTTGATCTAGATAATACAACGTGACACATTACGCGATCTTCTAGGCGTAAGAAGTCATCTTGAATTGCGTCTACCATATATGAATGAAAAAGTCGTATACATCTAAGTTGTGGTCGTAAACGTTTCTTTGTCACAAGTGGATAGTGACTTGCTATTTAATAATAATTGCAGTCTGAGAAATATAATTTTTATTTATTAATTTCTTGAATTCATAAAAAGTCAGTATTGATAACAAAGTACATTGTATGCACTATACTTTTTATATTACTATATAGTTTTTCTGTTTAGAATATGTTATAAGCATTTCAATTATAATTATCAGTTATTTAGAATATAATTAAATGTATATTATGTTTTTAGCAATCTTATTTTGTTGAACTTCAAAATATTGACTGTTAACAGCAGCTATGTTCTACTTATAGAATACATTTTTTTATTTTAGATACCCAATTTTAAAAATAACAAAATAGTGATTATTTTAAAATAGTTTTGAAACAAATTTACTTTACCACCCTTTTTTTTTCTCATCTTGTGTTTTTTATGTTCATACAAATTTGGAATCGGGGACTCCTCTAGTTCAAAATTTATAGCTATTTGCACTTTGAACCTTTCCCCGTATACAACAGTAGGTGGCAGGAAACCAAGGTGGACAGCTACGGCGGCCACAGCACCATGCACCTGACGAATTGTGATTGAAAAACACAATAGTTTGTTCCAATTTGTTATCAATAAATTATCATTATCATAATATTAGAAGAACTTGGTTGTAGCAAAAAAAAAAACGACCACAAAGGCAAGAGCAGTAATCATTTTACTTAAGTAGTTTGTTAAAACACAAAAAAAGACCTTTATAAAATGAACACTTTGGAAAATATATGAAGTGACTCCCTACCCTTTGCCGGCTTTGAGAGTCGACCCAAGCTTTTATGGGACTTTTCGTTAGGACGGGACCTCATGCCCCTAAACCTCCAGAGGAAAAAAACCTAACCTAACCTGAAGTATCAAAGACTTATTGAGACCCAACCTAATACATCTTACCCATTAACATAACAAAAAAATAATAGGCTTAAGGCACTTATATAACTGTCCAGGCACAAATGTTTGCCGTATCACACCTAGCCTGGTCACCCGTTTGTTAACTGTTTGATATGCGAAAAAGTTCAAAGTTTAAGTATCTATAACTTTTGAACAAGAGTATCTATAACTTTTGTCTGCTGATTACTAACTTCAGATTCAGAATCAGCATAAAAAACATTAGTGTTTACACTAACTACAAAAAAAAAAGAGTTTCTGGTAAAGTAAATTTATGCTCTAATTTTTCCAACAATTTTCTAATGTTTATATGTATATCATATTATATAAATATATAATGGATAGAAAAAGGATTTAAGACCTAAAATATTTAGACTTTAAACTATTTCACAACATGTAATATGGTATACATAATTAATATATTCTATTTAACTGGTATTAGAACTTATCTTATTCTGATTGTTAACCAGAAGTGAATATTATCTAAAATATAATTTTAATCAGTGTAAAACATTTTAAGTTTGCACTGCAAGTTTTCATGTTATTGCACTCAAAATAGTATTAAATTGATTGTGATCAATAACAAGACATCCAAGCCCCAGTTACAGGCATGTCATATTTATAGGTGTTTTTTTTAGTAAAAAAAATGAATTTATATTTAAATACTACTTTAAACTAACTGATAACAATAATACCACAGAAATAAAGTTACTTGTGTATTATACGGACACCCCTCCCCCAAATTTTTTTCAATTTTAGGGCAATAAAATAATGCGTTTTCTAAGTAGACGGAAGTATATTTATTAGAAAAATAAAACATTTTGTACTGTCCCAAGATCTGCAAGGTCGACGAGTAATATTTCAAACGCATTGCTGCTGCTTTCAGTTACTGCCAACTGCTAATTATTGCTAATTTTTTTATATTTTAACTTATTCTTAACTTTAAACCTGTGAACTCCCCTGGGACTGTAACCTGCAAACCTAAGATATTTTTAGTTTAGTGAAGCAACCGAGGCAAGCGAGTGAATGCCCCTAACCCTGTTCGCCGAGAGAGCATGCCGCGAACCAACGAAAATTGGCCGTTCTGCGCATTCCCCTGCGGCACCCAGTGTGACTAGCATTCCCCCCGAAGTCCGCCCTGTCTGCCAGCCTTAATCTTGCTGCTTAGTCTTCAGTCTACATGCGCAAACCCAGCGTGCTCTCTCAGCGAACAGGGTATAAACACTTTATGACCTGCCCTCCTATAATGTGCTGGGTGAGGGCAAGTAAGACGCAGTGGGGGGGAAGTAATCACTTCATTAGGAACTTTATTAAAGTGTAGTATGATTTATTTTATCTAATTACACTCTGATATTGAAAAAATAGGGGATCCATGTAATTCACAAGTACCAAAATAAATAATCAGATAGTTGCAAAAATATACCTATATTTTATCACATTACACGCTAAGTAATTTTGTTGAGGTCACACATTTTCCGATATAGTAAAATATATTATTGGAAAATTGTTTGTTACAATATTAAAGGAAATATTGTAATTAACAGAATACAAATCCCTTGCCGAATAATGAAAATTTAGGGTGATGCTATTTATCTATTGGCTTCCTTGTTTTATCTGGTGTTTTATGGCTGTTTAATGCAGGCTGTCCATTGTAAATCACTTTTCCAACAACTGACAGAGGTCAACTTATATGTGATCTGAGCCTTATAATATTGACTTTGATTAAAATATAGAACTGAATAAGATAAACTTTAAATGTCTTACCTTTGTAAATCCGCTAGTATCTTCATACAATGCAGTTCTAGGAACACACGTAAGTGCTCATACACATTGTTCAGGTCTATTTCCACCTATCTGCGGCGGGTCCAGCCGGATAAGTAAAAATTATTATCGTATTAATTTTAAATGTGACCATTCAAACTAGTCTGCACCTAGATCAGGCTTCCGTGCTGAATCTGGGTCGAAAAAATATTGTTCTAAACAATTCTCTCTCCAGATTTCCAGATGGTCTTGACCCGTCACAGATTAGTGAAAATTACCTTTAATCTAGGTTTACTTGGTCTGACTATTAATAGTAGTTTTGCCTATGTTTTTAATACGTTGACTGCCAACCTACAAGATAATTTGTAGTTTAAATGGTACTCTTCAGTACCGTGGCAGTCATCTTGTTAAGTATAGAAAAATAAACTAAATTATTCAGAAAATGTTCAAATACATTTCTAGCTACAGTACCTACAGCTTCAAGTATCTACTGATAAAGAACTGTATTAAAACAATTTTAAATGACCAAGATAAAAATAATTTTTTGTATTTAACTAAAAAAAAAATATCAATTAAAGTCATTAAACCCAAAATATGCTAAATTGCATATTTTAATGCGTTAGTAGAAAATAGGGAAATAGTGCAAAAAAGAAATATCAAATTAGTAATCTACAAATTTAATTACAAGTTAATTAGCATATTGTGTCCAGCCCCCAATGCATTTAGGAGAAAATTGCATGTTAGGAAATTTTGTATATTAACCTTGCTATAAAATAATGACTATGCTGATTTATTTATGCAGTATTTACTTGGGGGTTGAGCAAATGCAATACTAAGTTTGTTTAATTTATTGATTGTTAATAACTAAAAAATTTTTCTTATAGGAAGTGGCAATAAAATTTGAAAGTGCCAAGGCTCGCCACCCCCAGCTTCAATATGAAAGCAGGTTGTATAAAGTATTACAAGGAGGAGTTGGAATACCTCACATGCGGTGAGTTATTTAATTAAAGTTAAGTATTATTATATTGTACAACAAATCCGAACTGAGCTCAAATTATGTTTAGCCCGTCAATTTTTTTTTAAAATTGTCTTCAAAGTTATAAACAATTTTGAAAATAAAATTCAGAAAGTTCCTTTGTGTAATAATTATTTTTAATGTACAAATCACACTTTAAACACTATCAACTATGTTTTTTTTTAGAACTTAATTTCTTATTTAAACAAATAACTAGATTATTATTTAGCATCCCAAAAAAATGTTGATGCATATTTTTTGGTACTACTTAAATAAATAAAACTATTTTAATTAAATTTGTATTTTACTTATATTTTAATTTTATAAAAAAAAAATTGGGTTTGACCCCACAAATAATGTGTTAGATTATTCTGTCATCTAAGGTATAAAGTGGCAATTGTAGAAACCCTTACTTTGGTCAAAAATGTGGTTACATTGAATTATTAAATTTTATATAATATTCTTGTGTTTTAACCAGTTTTCATAACTCATAATACAAATTTCAATTTGTAAATAAATACTAACAAATGAGATTAAATGTTTTTTAAATGTATATTTATATTAAGGTGTATGTGTCTCATAATATAATGTGTAATATAATGTTTTATTGGGTTATGACTACATTAATTAGAGTTAGTGCGCTGAAGTGGCTTACAATCTAGACATTTGATATGACCTAACAAGAAAAAGTTAATTTTAATTATTATTGTAGTAAGGTCAACGGCGGACTGTTTTTTAAGGTACACAGCAGTACTAATATTTGTATTATTTTGATATTGGAGAATTCGTTATTATTTACTGTTATTCCGACGAATTCTTTTTTATATTATTTTTATTACTAAAAGTTAGACAATGCTCTAAAAGCATAAATTATAAGATAAAATTTCAATAACAATAAACAAAAATAAAATGTTTACTAGCTTGCAATATTATGTTTGTAAAGATTCTGTTGAACTCTAGATAATATTGTTTATTTTATATTCGAATTGTTGTTTTTATCAATAATATTAATACTGTACATTTTATATCTGTTAATGGCGTCAATTCCTCATTGACGTCATTAACAGATATAAAATATCTAAGTATGTTCAATCTTAATCAAGTTGGTTTTTATTTTATATTTTGATTTATACATACTACTTGTTTGTAGTAAAATATAATTGGAAATACAAATTTTTAATTATTGTAGGTAATGTCATCTAGTATTTATTGAGAAGTCCCTGGAAATTAGTTCAAAATGGATAAAAACGCCCCCCAAAATTTCAGACCTAAAGTTCAATGTAAACAAGGCACATAATTCTACTTAATTATGAAAAAAATTAAAATAAGGGATTATTGAAATTATGTCACACTATATATATGGGGTTATGAACTAGATGGAAGTTAAAATAGATTTTTGGAAAATATTTTTCCACCTTACAAATGTTAGTATTTTCTTTTGCCATTAAATAATAGTGTAACCAAAATTTAAATAGTATACAATATTTCCTGCTAAATTTTCTTACAAATTCTAATCATTTAAAATAAAATTTATATATTTATGCACGCGTTCAAGTTTTGTTTTAAAAGAAATAAATTATGAGGAAGTTGAGCTAGAAATATGAAATTTTACGGATTTTAAATTTGAATAGGCTAATATACAGGGTGGCCCACAATGATTTGACAAATGAAATAACTTTTGTTCTAGTGAATATTTTTTATAAATAATTTATACTTATTTGCGCTATGAGCACCGCGGTTTTTATTGCACTTGAAACGCGTAGAGCTATTTTTATCTGCGCGCATTTCTCTACCGCACTCTACCTCCCATCTTACAATTAACCTTTAGTAACTTAAAAAGTAATTATTCAAATCTGGTTAACGACCAGTCAAAATATTCTTTATACCTTTATATGGCTATCTTGAATTTTTTAAAAAAGTGTAACAAAAATAATAAAAAAATAATTAAAAAAAGTAAAACAGGTAAGTGCAATAAAAACTATGGTGCTTATGGTGCAAATGAGTATAAATTATTAAAAAAAAAAAATCTTAAAATATTCACTAGAACAAAGGTTATTTCATTTGTCAAATCATTGTGGGCCACTCTGTATGTATGTATGTATGTATATTGTTGCACTCAGTTCTCCAATTCAAATCAATCCATAATTTTTTAGTGTAATACAAGCTGTCCCGGCGTTGCCCGTATCTTAGAATAGACAATCAGCTGATCACTGTATCCCTGTGGTATGAAAAACCATAGATGTCTATTGATAACTATTGATACTATTAATAATCATAAAACAATTTTTTGGGTGGACCACCCTTATCACTTAGGGGTATGAAAAGTAGTTTACGTCCTATTCTCAGACCTACTGAATATACACACAAAATGTCATAAGAATCGGTCAAGCCGTTTCGGAGGAGTTTTGTTACAAACACTGTGACACGAGAATTTTATATATATATATATATATATATATATATATATAGAGATTTGAGTTGTATTATTCATGTACTTCAACGCAAGATTCCGATGGTAGTATTTGTGTATCAACCACGACGTTCACGAGACTTTTAGACATACATTTTTGTTTCTAAGGGATCATGACTGAGATAAATTAGTTTTATTAGATACCTTATCGTGTTTGGATCTCGTTTGCGATGATATTATAACACGATGCTCTAAACGATTAAATAATGTTATAAGCCTACTTTGAATGGTGACATATGCTGATTTCAATAATAAAGTAGTATATCGACGCTACAAGCCGTATATTTTGTTTTTAATTGAAAGTGCTCAAAAGTTTACATAATATAACATAATGTCGTATGTCGGGGTTTACTGTAGCGGCCCTTATTCTAGAGAACAGTAGCCGGTCGCTATGTTTAGTAATAATTATAATGCATGTAATAATATTTATTATCATGATACACTTTTCTGTTGTTAGCCGTGAACCCGACAACGTCGCGTCCGTTACCCAGTAGGTGTGCGTCTGGCAACATAGTCCTTCGGCCATTAAACCGTAGCATCATTGTTTTCGTCCAAGGCATGTCAGCTGGAAACGCTGTACGCTGTTTTCCATTTGTGTTTCTATGCGAGCCGTGTGCCCATAAGATTTATGTTTTTTTTTATTGTAAAACAAACGGACGTGTTTTCTCTTATTTTATTTACAATTATAATTATTATTTAACCTTAACCATCATGTTTGATCTGGATATTTAATTTAGTAAATCGTTGGCCAAACGACTAAAACACATTTCGGGAAAAAATTTCGGAAGGGTTTTCACAATTATTTCATATATATCTTTTAACCAAACAAAAATAGGATATGTTGTGCTTAATACGTTTGATTAAAGATTTTTTTATGACTTGGGATTTTGATTTGATTTTACCTCAACATTGTAAAGCTCACATTATTATAAACAATTTATCTTTTAATAATGTCAATGAGGTTTTTACAAAGTATCTAATGATTTCATGTATTTATTCTAAAATTGTAATACTTGAAATTGTGTTAAAAATACATTTAGATAAAGTATGTTTAACGAATTAGGCATTATAATATCTAGTGATTTTTAGTCATTTTAATTCACTCGCATTAATTTTTGAGAGTGCTTAAGCTTACAAAATAATTGTTTTAATTGTTTTTAGGGGAAATTAATTTTAATGATTACACAATAACAACAAATTGATAGTAGAAAAAATATTTTAGTCGTTAATGGGAATATATTTATTGTTTTTTGGTAAATATTATATTTTAATTTTTTAGATTTATTACTTCTGCGACAGAAGATTCAGTAAATTAATTGAACCATTAATTTAAAAAATCGAGGATATGACTATCATGTTAATAGTTATTGCTTATCACATGTTATGATAAATCATTTTTAATAATAATACTACTATTATAGTTCGTGTATCGTGTTTTACAATTACAATACAATGTATATAAAATATGAATTATTAACGGTGCTTGATACACAAATTTTTCATTTAACCAAAATTGAACAAAAAAAAACGAATTCATCAGTCAATCGCGATTTTTGGTCACATTTAACCCGTCACTACTTGCGACGGGTAAAAGTTAACTCCAGTCATACTTTGTTACAGTGTGACTCGGGCATGCTTGAAATATACAAGGTTATTGCCTATAAACCCCTACTTCAAATATTCGATGAAAAAAACAAATATGTCAGCCTAACGGGCAAAATTAAGGATAATAGTACACGGTAAAATATATAGTATCAGTAAAGTATATAGTAAAATGGATATTTCACTTTATTTTTGAAGATAACAATTCGAGACGATTGCAATAACTTGTATATTTCAACCATGGACTCGGGTAAGAGTGTACGCTGGTCTTACTTTATTTAAATGTGACTGAAAATCGCACAAGTAGTGACGGTAAATGAATTAATATAAATGCTAATAATAATCATCTAGTTTTTTAATTGTTGAAAAAGTAGTGTGGTGTGGTCTTGGATTTTTTCACGGCTATTCATCTAATGCATTCGTCTAATTATTTAAAAGAATATGATTATGTTACTTTGTGAATTCAAAACAGATAGAATATTATTGCTCTCATCGAGGTTTTATGAGTGCAGGCCTTTAAAACTTCCAAGGTTTTATAAATATTGACCGTGAATTTCACTAAAATGCACAAATCTAAAAAATAATTGGTGCTCAGTTCTCCTTAAATAATTGACTAGATTGTTAATAACATATCCATTAAATTATTTATGTTGGTCAAGGTTACCATATGGAAAACGTTTTAATAATAGAAATATTTTTCGGGGATATATTTCGATTCAACAATAGCCAATTGTTTTCTCATTATAAAGTCTATGTGTCATCAATAGTTAATAGTATAATTAGTACATAATGTTGTTTTTCACCCGACAAAAAAGTGTAATGTTAATATAAATTATAATATTACAAATTATAAATAATATCTAGGTATAGTTTACTTTATAGGTACTTATTTTTTATTTCGTGTTCTGGACAATTGACTGCATTACCGTGACTAGACTGGAGGAGAAGTGTTAGACCTAGATGTTTACCAAATGGCTTGTTAAGCACTTATTTTTATTTGTATGGTACTAGTGCAGCATTTCACAAAATCATAACATGCTTTTTATAAATTTAACAAATTTAAAAATTGTAGAAGGTATATAATAATAATACTTAAAGTTATACTTATAAACTTAGGTCTAAGTCAGTAATCCACTGAATTTCCTCAAGACTTGGTTGTCGGGCATCATTGATGGTGTCGTGAAATGCACGTTTTGGACAGTCAGATATTATGTATTTGATTGTCTGAGATTTTGCACCGCACTCACACGCTAGTGAATCATCAAGACCTCATTTATGCAGCATATAATTATATCGCCCATGTCCGGTTCTGGGTCTATTTAAAGTTGACCATTCTTTACGCGGTAGATTTTGTCCGTTTATAGTGTCTGAAGGATCAGATATAATATATCTGTCTAGATTAGCCTTATTCCAGTCAGCCGCTTGAAAATTATGATCACAAAGCTCTTTAGCAGTACGCCATCCTGGATTCCGAGATTTGAGTCTCTTTGCTATTAACTGCTATTATAGGAAGATTCTTATTTAGTGCACAGGTGGTCTATGTGTGTAGCAAGGCTCATTGACGTCTTATGTGTGGGAGGGGGGTATATTGGACAGTACCGCGGGCCATTGGGTTGGGGTTGACTTGATAATTCCTGATATTTATTTTGTTAGTGTGGGCAGCACTAATCAGCCAGACAGGGAAGCTAAGCTATACTCCGCAACTGAATAAACTATAGCCAGTGTAGATGTACGTAGCGTATTCATGCTTGCCCCTCAAGTTATACCCGTTAGTTTCTGTATTAAATTTAACCTGGTTTTTACTTTTCCAGCTGTCTTATTAAGATGTTTAGTACGTTACTGACCGTAACTAGATCTAGCGTAACTCGAGTATTTTGGTGTCTTAGAAGTTATCTATTAAAGCTGACGTTGGTAACCTGCCATCATGTAGCCATATGAGGTAAAAAGCTGACATTTCAGTTTTTATTGGTTTAGGTATCAGTCTCCAATCCTTGGAATATTGTTCTAAGTGTTGAAGGTCAGTCGTCAGTATACGTTCGCATTCGAGTAGGTATTTGGATTGACAAGCAGTTGCTATGTCGTACGTGTTAAATGATTTAACATTGTTACGTATTATCATTGATTATAAATATTATAGATTGCCCACCGAGACAAATTTCAGTTCTGGACGTCGACACGGGACGGGCGCTAGTAGTATCGTTTTCAATGAAATTGATACTACTAGAGCCAATCCCGTGTCGACGTACAGAACTGAAATTTGTCTCGGTGGGCTATCTATCATATTTATAATCAAAGGCATTATGTATAGCGACAAGTTCCAGTTGTACATCCTGTAAATGTTTGGATTAGTGCGACGACGTGATTAAAAATCATCATCACTCCCGTTATTTTAAGATTTACTGCATAGCTATGGCTAAAAAAGAAACGTTGGTATTCAAATTATAACTGGTGGCTAGCGAGGGATTGTAATTTTAATTTTCCTATACGAATTATTTTAGTAATGTAATAATAGTTTATCCCTTTACATGTAATACGCATATTTTATCAAATTCGGACCATCTGCTTCATGCAATACATGTTTATTTTACTAAATACTAATAATAGTATAGTTTTCAAACTTTTTTGTTTGAAAACTATATTATGGAACTATTATTATGGATTATTTATGTTTTTTCATAAATAATCCATAAGAATTTAATGCATAATAGAAATGAGACAATTTTAAGGGTGACCATTTTAAGGTCATTTAGGTCCGTATTTGTTAATTTTTGGTGGTGATGCAAGTCGGCGGAATTGGGTTTTTAGGTCATCGAACGCGCCGTCGCTTGTAATATGTAATATGATGTACATGCGCAAGAAGAAAACACGCCACACCACGCCTACTGCAAAACTGCCACCGCTGATTTCATTTTCTATTTCCAAGACGTTTTCACTTTTTTCTCTATCACCTTGTTGGTGTTTCGTACACATACATCCTCCTCGTGGTCAATTTATTTTCACAGTGCCTCGCTTCTAGGATAAATAAACAAAATTGCATATATTATTATATATTTTATAATAACCTATATTGACACTTTTTAGCTTTGATTTTATATTTCATCATCTTTTTGTGTCTGAATTTCTTAACCGATAACGATATCTTCTAAACCGCTGAACCGATTTCTTCATGTAGCCTTTATATAGTTCAGAAGTCGTTCCTGGATTTACTTTATTGAGCCAAAAATTAAAAATGTCACCCCTTCCCCTTCAAAATTACATATTGTTATACTTAAAATTTCGGCGAACCATAACTTTTTTAAAAATAACTATATTAATTCCAAATTTGTATAGAACATTTTTTAGCCATAGTAATATTTAGATAAACACAAAAAATATCAAAATTCCTTTCCCTCAGAAGTGATGGAACTTTTTTTTATATAGCTTTTTAAAACTTTTGGCTTGTATGCCCAATAGTTGACATTTTTCCTTAATAAAATGTGTAAAGCAATGAAAAGAGAATTGTTCAAGTTAAGGGCAGTAGGAAAAGTGGAGTATCTGCACGCACTTCCCCTGCCATCCTAACTTTCAAACTTATATAACTTGTTAACTTAAAATAGTTGTCCAAAACTGATTATCTACCAGACAACATTTTTAGTAAATTATTCTCAATTTTAAAAGCTATACTCCGGACACTTTAAGAAGGCACCTGCGCGGCGGACCAAAACTCGTCAGTCGCCGCCTAGGTCGTAGCTGTATGCATTAGTAAGCAGTGCCGAACAATGACGATGTTGCGGGGTGGAAACCGGTCGCTGCCAACGAGGTACCTTCTTAAAGTGTCCCGAGTATAATAAAATATATGCGTTACCATTTAAGTTACAAAAGTTTCTATCAAAAAAACTAATTTGGGAGGGGTTAAAAAAAAAATTGAAAAATTGAGATCACATAATATAAAAAAATATGTATTTCTTATTAAACCCTATGAGATATTGAGTGGTTCATGATAAAAGAACCAACTGTATAATAAATAATTAAATCAATAAATCATGCCTTTAAATTTGTATTTTATTGCAGAATACAGTATAGTATAGTATAGTATAGTTAAAAAATATTGAGAATTGTTAGATCATTTTAAACGCAATTTTTGATTTAACTTATAATTTAGTTGGTTTATAGTCAGATATTTTAAAAATGGTTATTTTCGTATTATAATTATTTTTAATATTTGACAATAGAATAAACCGATAATATTATGATTTATACAATTTTATACTAATTAAGTATAGTTTATTTATAGATCATTTTATTTATAAATAAAATACTGCATTTATTTAATCATATTATTCTGTTCTTTCAGATGGTTTGGATTAGAAAGAAATTACAACATTTTGGTCATGGATTTGTTAGGTCCATCATTAGAAGACCTTTTCAATTTTTGTTCGCGGCGATTTACACTGAAGACGGTGCTTATGCTCGCTGACCAAATGATTAGTCGTATTGAATATGTGCACTGTAAAAGTTTTATACACCGTGATATAAAACCGGATAACTTTCTAATGGGAATTGGTCGCCATTGCAATAAAGTAACAATTAATATTTAATCTACATTATGAAAAAAAAAGATATATAATACTATTCTAATTTCTTTTTGTATTTAGTTGTTTCTGATTGATTTTGGATTGGCTAAAAAATACCGTGACATGCGTACCAGAACGCATATTTCATACCGAGAAGACAAAAATCTAACAGGAACAGCTCGTTATGCATCTATCAATGCTCATTTAGGAATTGAACAAAGGTAATAATTATATTATTAAATATTTAATTAAATTGTATTATTGTATACATCACTATACTATTTACAGCCGTCGAGACGATATTGAATCCTTGGGATATGTACTTATGTATTTTAATAAAGGATGTTTACCATGGCAAGGATTAAAAGTAAGCAACATATTTGAAAGATAAAATTATCTAAATGATTGTTGTATAATCAATTGCTTAAAGTAATTTTCTAGTTTAGTTAAGATCTTAATTTTTATTTATTTATTGCTTTAAAATATTTAAAAAAAAAACACTAAATTTACCCATTAAACCCATAAGTTTAAGTCTAGAGCAGTGAAAACCCAAGGTTGTGAGATTTTCTATGGAAAATGATTATCTTGGCTGTTTTGGGAATGAAAAAATTGAATTATATGGATACTATCAGATAATGACTAATTCTATAATGTAAATTTAGGTTAAACTTTATGTGATGTGATTTATGATTAACAGGGGAGTGAGGGGTGAGGTAAACTACATACATATCCACAAATTCAACCTATCAACAAGTTTTACTGATAATAAACTGCTTCCTAGACAGTCAATGGTATGGTTGGTGGTTTTGGTGGGAAGTATTAAAGTAAAATAACTCGTGGTTTGCTGTGAACACAAATGGTTTTTGGTGAGAGAGGTCCTTATGCAGACAATATCTATACTAATATTGTAAAAAAATGTATGAAAAACTATAACAATTAAAAAAAATTCATTAAAAGTTTTTTTGCATATTGTTATGATAGTTGTTTATTGTGTATGCTCTTAAACCAAATAAGTAATAAGTGCAGAGTATGTATAATGTAGTCTTAAAACATCATTTTACCATGATACTATCTCAAAACGAATTTTCAATATACTATTTGTTTATTATGTTTACAGTGATTTTTTGTTAATATTTACAATTTATAATTTTAGGCAGCAACAAAAAGGCAGAAGTATGAAAAAATTAGTGAGAAAAAAATGTCAACACCTGTTGAATTCTTATGCAAGGTATAGTGTTGATCGCATGCTTGTTAATTTATTTTAAAATGTATGTAATGCAATATACCAACAGGAATTTTATTTATTAAGAATAACAATTTTATAATTTAAAAAAGTGTTTTACACTATTGCGTTTAGTACCACTAGTTGGAATTATTTTCATTGTTCTTACAACTACCAGGAATCTGATTTTGCACACACATAAATTACTTTATACTATATATAGTATATAGTATACAGTATACATATATACTCATAGCTGAAGACTTAACCTGTATTCTTCTATTGAGCACACTATACTTTGTTCTCCAAAAGAATATGTCCCGCTTGGTGCATCCAAAAAACATAACGGTATTGTCTCTAGGTTAAATTGTCCTCACCATACGGCTGCCGGTGTTGGTCTACATACATGTGACCGCAAATGAAGCGTGCGATGTGTTTTAATGGGAGGGGCCCCTGCATGTTTTTTGGGTGGGATGTGCGAGAATAGATGAGATTTGGTCAGCTGCCAGATCCATTTTCTCAGTAAACGGTATAGAGACATGTAAAGTAACAAAAAACAATTAGCTGATATACTATTATTTGTTTATTAGATATATTGTATTAATTAATACAAAATATAAAGCTATTATTATAAAGTATATTATAATTTTACAGGGACTGCCTGCTGAATTTGCCATGTTCCTAAACTACAGCCGAGGTTTAAGATTTGAAGAGTCACCGGATTACATGTACTTGAGACAGTTGTTCCGTATTTTGTTTAGAACACTGAATCATCAGTATGATTACATATTTGACTGGACTATGCTTAAACAAAAGGAGTACAACAATGATGGGCAAAGTGCTGCCGTACCTCAAGGGGGCTCACCTGTGTCTGGGGCTGCTGCGGCTGGTGGACCACAAACATTTCCCCCCCAGACCCCAGCCACCTTAGGTAACCCATAAACAAATTTTAATTTCAACGGGAAAAAAAAATTATGATACATTGTTCATAAACAAACTAAAAAATAATCTACTCGATATTTAAAAAAAAAACAGCATTATGTACCACAATTGTAAATCATTAAGTTGTTTCTAAGTTTATTGCAGTTTGTGTGTTCAATTTTTAAATCGTAATTTTTACAGTACCGTTAAATTGTATTATTTACTTACAACAGAAAAAGAAAAGAAAAATGTAAAAAAAAAAAAAAAAAATGTTTTGTTAATATTTTTTTAGCCTCTGCGAACCAGGCGAGCAAGAACTGAGCCTTCGTGTACTTTAATTTTAGCTTTGAATTTATAAATTGAAATAAACATTTTGCAATTCAGCAAATAATTAAAGTGATGTTATTTTTAAAATTCTAATCTTTTATTTTCAATTTTCATAATTGTGCACTATTATAAAAAAACTCACTTAAGGTGTATAATTTTTTTTTTTTAATTTTAGCGTATTACATCATAATGTACAACAATTTTTGTTTCAGGTAATCGCTAAAATAAAAAAAATTTTAATGGCGGATCCCTTAACCCTAACTTTTCTTGTCTCTTATTTGAAATGTGATTTGAAATTATTTTTATTTCGTTTTCAACATTTAACGGATATAAAAGTATGTAAATCACCGTCCTTTATATATAGTTAGGTGGCTAAAACTAATAGTCCTATCTCTTTTTATAATTAATTTATCTCATTGACTTTTAATTACGGAAACCAACTATTTTAAAAAATACACGCTCTTGTATGTATTGTCAATTCAATTAAGCCGTACCTACTTCATCATATATATGAATATATTATTATACTTTTTTTTGCGAATTAAAGTATTAGAAGATACAAAAATTTACTCTTAAATTTAAATAATTATATATAAATAAATGTTTATGTATTAAATAAAAAATAAATAATAAACCATAACTCCTTTTATTATTATTATTACTATTATTATTATAATTATTATTTTTAAGTAAATTTAATGTTTTTCTACTTTTTTCCTAATTATTGTTTTTCTATATTATTATATTAGTTTTAAGATGTATAAAGAGTAAAAGAATTAGGTATTATGTAAAGAATTGCCAACACTAATAATAAAATAATAAGCTTATACCTAAAATATGATCAATGATGTATTGAATTCTAAATTGATTAGTATAATTTTATTGGCAGATCTTGATGTGATATCATGTGTATGCTTAATAAGTAAGCAAGTATAGTATTTAGCACTTATATTTTGATCGTATTTCCCTCATTAACTTATCCTTGAAGTAGCTGTTATATTGTTTATCAAAAATTGATAAAGGATAATTTTAACATAATTAGATAAAATGAACATACAAAATATGTAAACATTTTCATTTTAAATACCCCCCCTTTCCTCATACGCATTGCTCATTTAAGGTGAGATATGATCAAACTCGTTCTAAGAATAAGTTAAGTAAGACTTTAATTTTTTTTAATATCTCTTTAATATCAATGGTGTTAACATATTAATTTATTGCTATAAGTATATATTAAGTTCACACATATACAAGAATATAAATAATTAAAATTAAATTTAAAAGTTAAAATTACATTTTTATTTATAATAAGATTAATTAATGATAAGTTTTACATTACTTTAATGGATTTGACAAATTAGATATTAATCCAACAGTTTCATCAAATTGGTTCTTGTCTGTAAAATGAAAATCACCAACATTTATGTATCTATGAATAGTAATTTATAGCTTCATTTACATAGTAACATATTATTCTTTTATTTAAGAAAATAGTACATCAAGCCAGTTAAAAAAAATAACTATTATTTTAACTATTTATGCAATAGGAGAAGAGAAACATACTTCATATGTATACAATTTTATAATTTTCAAATTTTACTAGGGAGCTATTTTAGTTTTTTTTGCTCCATAATCTGATAATGGATATAAGGCTATTAAACATTCTGCACTATCTATCGGTATATTTGCTCTATGTATTCTAATCTAGTTGGTCCCAACTGGTTCCATAAAAAACAAAAAGACTTAGATGTCATATGCATTATGCAATTTTGCTCCGGTTTGGGTAGGTACATTAATCTACATACATGCTGTATACATCCTATCATTTACAAATAGAATTGAAAGTGAAGTTATCACATTAAGTAATAATAATTCCTGAAGACCTGTAATCTCTTCTAGCCCACTATGCTCCTACCGTACTGTTCTGGCTTTTTTATACTAATTTGAAAATCAAATTGTTGACAACAAATGTGTTAAATGAAATAGGATTACAATTAGAAACTTATTTTTTAAATGATAATAGGGAAAAACCAGTCGATTTTTGTTTTTAATTTGTCAGTGGACTGTTTCCAAACGAATCAATTCATGAACTGAATTGTAAGAAAAAGATTATGATCTGGGCTACAGAAGAGTTCAAAAAACCTATGATTACAAAGCAAGTCGAGTTTTAAAACTGAATCGCATTACTGAAAATTTGGAAATATCGACTATTATCGCTGTTCTCTGTATTCTGGTTACTATGATTTTTATTAACAGACAGTATACAACAAACTTTAGGAGAATGACACTGCATTATTCCTAATAATAATAATAATAATAACAAAAAATTGAATTAGGTATGGTAAAAATATAAAACTACTAATTATTTTTGCATAATTACCAAAATCGTTAGTAATGGACGATGGTAAATTAAAATAGTTATCACCACTAATAGTTGCTTTATCTTGAACAAATCCGTGTACTTCTAACCATCCATCAATACAGCTATCAATAGGTTCATGAAAAGTCGCCGTCACCACTTGGTTATCGGTAGATTGTAAAGTAACTGACATACCGTTAGAATTCACCTACACAACAATTATATTTTGCTCACTAGTCACTATATAGTTACAAAATAATATTTATTATTTTATTGACCTTTCATACCTTTAAAATACTACCAATTAAGGTTATTGGTTTACCAACGAATTTCTGTAAGTACGAACCATTGACAAAAGTTCGAGTAGGTAATACAATAGACTCCATCGTAATAGATATACTAACTAATTGAAGTTAACTTTATTTACTTAATATTATATTAATAAAATAAGTATTATTTTTGAATGTTTATTACCTAATAATATAGAACATCAAAATTAAAAACTATTTAGTGTTAGTGTTAAATACTTAAATAAAACTTTTTAGTTTTGTTTCTACTTTTCACTTTTTGGAGACTGGAGTGCCGAGTGTGGATATTGGATAAAGGATTTCCCGCCTTTGGCTTAACACATTTAAGGTTTAAATAATTGATAATATTATTTGAACTCTTAGATACAGTGTGGGTCATGGATTTTGCAGATTTGCATTAAATTTTTATAAATCTATCAAATCCTAAAACATATTATCTGAAATAAAATTGTTATAAGTTCTCGAATAAAATAAACGAATAACTAAATATTAATTAGTCAATAATTAAAATAGTAAGATAAAAATGTTATATCAATAAAAATACTAAATAGTAACTTAAATTATTTGTGTACAGACTATAGTTGGTACTCAATACCTACAGTGTATCCACAATAGTGGACTATGGGATATAATAAAAACGTGTCCCATATCAACATGTTGGACACCCATATTTTACAGTTCCATGAAATCGATTCTTTAAGTAAAAAAGTACTAGATTTTAGGTTATGTTTGGCCAACATCAATTTCATTCACCCAGTTCATTTTCTTTGAAAATATTCATTACTTTATTTTAAGTTTTAAGGTTTCAAACGAAAATGAAAGCCAAAGGAGATGTAAGTTATTTTTTAATTTAAATTACATCTATATAATTGTTAAATTTAATTAATAAGTTAATGATTTATTACGTTTGCTGGTATTGTCAACTGGGTAAAAAGGTTTATCCAACACGACATGTGGCGATAAATATGTTTATTAAAAAAATACGAATTTATGAAGAATAATTAATCTTTTATAATATTAAAATATTAAATTTAATTAAATCATTTGTTTTAGTTGAAGGAGTACGAAGTTATTGGTCGCAAATTGCCGACCGAAAAGGAAAAAACAACACCACTTTACAAGATGAGAATATTTGCTCCAGATCGTATTGTTGCTAAGTCTCGTTTTTGGTATTTTCTGAGACAACTTAAAAAATTCAAAAAGAGTACTGGAGAAATTGTATCATTAAAAGAAGTAAGTAAATTAATAGAATTATTTTTTAATAAATTTGTCTAACCTATAATTTTGTAGGTCCCGGACAAGTCGCCAACAAAAATTAAGAATTTTGGAGTTTGGTTACGTTATGATTCCCGATCTGGTACACACAACATGTACCGCGAATATAGAGATACAACTGTTGCTAGTGCAGTCACTAAATGCTATAGAGATATGGGAGCAAGACATAGAGCCAGAGCCCATTCTATTCAGGTATTATTTAGCTCGTAATTATAAACTGAATGTTAATAATTAGGTATTAATGTTATAAGGGCTGAGTCCTTTAAAGTTCAAGCTTAACAATTTGTCAACAAAATCAAATAAAAAAACAATCAGAATAACTTAAATTTAAATAAGATAGGCTAGAGCAATGTCACAATACATAGTAAAGATAACAATTTTTTCCCCAAGTGAAATTTCCAACAAATTTTTGTGTATAAGACTTCATTAATCATAAATAACATTTTTTTGCGTATAAATTTACTGTATTAAAAAATATACCTAATAACTTTAAAAAGAAATACAATAGATATACATATATCTATTGTATCTATATATATTTTTAAAATCGTTATGATTGGAAATTAAGTAAATATTGGTGCCATCAATCACATATATGGTAAGAGAATTTATTTAAAAAATTGAATTATCTATGCCAAACATACAAGTTTTCTATGTATAATGAATAAATGTCGAAAATCAAATTTTCAAACGCCACTTTTGTTAAATTATAAAAAAATGCATTATCAATGTGAATTGAGATAAACAAAATTAATAGATACTGTATAAGAAAGGGTAATTATTGGTAGTCTAATTATTGAATTGAATAAATCATCATATGTACAAATATTTTAATTTCAATATTTATTATTTAGATCATTAAAGTGGAAGTAGTGAAGGCTAAGAACACCAGGAGACCACATGTGAAACAATTCCACGACAGTGACATCCGTTTCCCACTGCCCCATCGTGTTGAGGGTAAACGTCGTCGTTATAACACATTCTCTATTCGCCGACCAACAACCAGTTTCCTTTAAAATGGATATTTGAATTTTCTAAATAAATTTTAAAGTTTATTTTATTCTGATGTTTTTTTGTTATTGATTAGTTTATATATTATAATATAAACAACTACAAAAAAAAAGTGAGTCAAGCAAAATTGTTTGTTGATGTTGACTAATCTGACTTCTAAGAATTTTTTTTTTAGAAGTCCATTGTGATTAGAGATTTTACCCTTAAGGTATTTCAAGTTGTAACCTTTCAGTTGTATTTGCCTGTTGGCCAGTGGATTTACAGCTGTGATATCTGATAGTTGTGAATTTCCCAAATTGTGTATGTCAAACTAAAGACTGAAGTTTCATAAGTTTTCAAGTTATTTTAAATTATTTTCATACTATTGACTGAGACGATTATCGAAAAAGTTTATTATAGTTTTCGCAATACATAAAATATAATTGTCCCACAAATAAATGTTATGTTGTGAGTAAATATTTTTTTACAGGAGGCGTCAAAATAATATTTGGCATTAAGTGTCGATTTCTCTGTACATAACACTTGGTACAAGTACAGCTTATAAGAGTAACAATAATAACATACTTGGCTTTTTTAATCAATAATCATTGGATTTGTTAAACCAAAGTGTATGTTGATGGGCTAGGTTGTCAAATTTCAATTTGTTTGTAATAAAGTGGACTTATTTTTATACATGTTTAAATCTTAAATTTAGTATTATAATTATAAAAATAAGCACCTACTGTCATACTGGGCTTTACTTGAGAGCCTAAATACTTTGTTATAAACTCTACTTTTTACTAGTTAAATAATTAAATACATGGATATAAAATCTATTGCCATGGTTAAATACTGCGTTTTATTTTATTCAGTATCTGGTTGGCTTTCGAAGTAGGTATTATGACGTCAGCTTGGAACATATACCATGGATAAAGTCATGCTGTACAAATTACAAATCCACAATAATTTTTAATATAGTAACAAGTTGTCTTTTTTAATTCAGAAGAAATTAAAAGCCGCACTAGAAACCAGCATGGTCCACACGCCAAGGTGCTAACACACCTTTTAACCTCTAATATTGACTTATTTTCCCTACTATAAACTATTAGGTAGGTAGGTAAGTATTTATTACGGTTAACTACAGATTATATTTTCATATTATAATTGTTCAACCGTGTTAATTATTCATCCCGATATCACAGAATATTACTGTGTCGATATCAACAGTTTGCAAGATATGAATACATGATAATGCTATCATGATTTTAAGTTTTCATGATTTTTAAATTTTAATATTTATTAGTTATTTGAATTTTTATTATTTTATTTATATTTTATTGTACTGTTGCACTGTATTAAAAATTAATATCATTAACAAATCATATTTCGGTATTGTAGATTGCCAAGTTCTTTGGGGTATAATATATAAAATGGAAATTTGTATTTTTCTATACTATTATATACTTTAAAATTTAACTTCAATAATGGAATAAAATATTTTTAAAAACCGTTCAACGCTGTTAGATGTTAAAACTGTCCTGTAATAATGAACGAAACAAATGAAACTGATATACGATTTGTCCAAACTTTTCAATTTTCTTTTTCAACCATAAAAATTCCTGGCCATTATAAAATTGAAGTGCCTATTGATATTCCATTTGATGGTAATATTATTGAACTAGCACACAGAATTGTAAGTGGATTCCATTTACCTATTTATATTGTAGAAGGTAATTATTATATTTTGCATTTACATTTTTGGATTCATTTATAATAAAAACTTTTATAATGACAGATGTGGTAAAAGAGTTAGAAACTTTTATTGATGACTCTACAATTAAGTTATATGATCGTCAAACTGCTGATGCGATAGACTGCATTAAAAATGAGACTGTAGAGGTAGAAGATATTGTCAAATACTGGGAAAAAGCGTTTAAAGAAGTATGATGGGATATATTTATATTAAACTATAAATGTCAATAAATTCTTGTTTTTTTTTTTAAAAAAGGAAACTTTATCGTATAGTGACAATAAAGGACCTAGTAATGATCAATTATTTGCTACTGCATTTCATAAATTGGCCCATTCAGGCCCATCATTAGATGCAATACTTCATATAGAATATGGTTATGCTCAAGCTGTAAAAGATATTATAGCGAGAAAGACTAGACAAGTGCTGTCACTAATAAAAGGGTATGAATATTAAATAAAGACAATTACTTTACTAATATATAATATTATTACATTTAGTTTTTTTCTGGTTTTAATGCTTTAAAATTCTATTTAAACCTTAACTTTATATATTCTTAAAACTTTATTTTATTAAAGTAATTGTAATTTTTTTTTAGTCAAACTGATGAAATGAATTATGCAATGGATGGGTTGAATAATTATAGTACAGAAGATGATATTAATGCTTTAGCATTAAAACATTTTGATGATCAAACATTAATTCAAGTATATAAAATAACTTTTTGTACAATTTATTTATATATTTATTTTGTTCAATATTAGTCAATAGAAAATGTCGGTAATTTCTTAATTTCCACATTTCTAATAATAAAAAATTACTGTTTTTAGGGTAAATGGAATAGTAAACTAGATACATTAAAGCAAGAACAACGTACTGGATATAGAGAATGGATTATGAAAACTGTAGAAGAAATGCGAGGAACTGAAGGCCTCTATTCACCCATGGGGTAAACATTTGTATTTGTATGTATTGAGTTAATTTTTTTTTTTTACTGATTTATTCAATTAGGAACTCTCCAATTGGATCAATATCTAATGAGTTCACCATTGCCAATTCATCTCTTTACGACATAGAAGAAAGTTTTACTATTCACCTTGGGTCCCAGATGAAATCTACACATAACATTCGTATTATGTCAGCAGATACATTAAATCTTTTAAGACTCACGCTAGATGAACAAGGGTATTTATTTTTAAGATATAGAAACTATACTCTGTTCGCCGAGAGACCATGCCGCTACCCGACGGAAAATTGGCCATTCTGCGCATCTATGCACAGCACCCAGTGTGACTAGCGTCCGCCCTGTCAGCCTTAGTCTTGCTACTTAGTCTTCAGTCTACATGCACAAATCCGGCATGCTCTCTGCGAACAGGGTATAGAAATTGTATTTTTTTTAAATATTATAGTTTTTGTAATTATCTTATGTACTTCTCTTATGTATTGAAATTGTCTTTAGTATAATAATGCATCATCCACAAAGGTTACAAACAGTACTTGAACTTTATTCACATGATCTCAAAGGTCTTGTATTATTTACTGACACAAATAACTTAGATTTCTACTCTGGTTTAGCTAAAGGTAATATGGGTTGTTTACTTAATTGTTTAAAAGATTATACTTATCTTCAATTCAAAGCTGAGACGATATTGATTTTATTATTTATTTTAGAGTTTTTTGATATTTGCGAAAATAGCACAGATTTTCATTTTGCTTCACTTCAAGATCAATTAGAAATTATTAAATCAGATTTGAAAGCTGCTGTAGAAGACCGTAAATGTAATGGACCCGTTAGTAATTTTTTATCACCAGAATTACAGGTACTATAAATTATTACAATATTTATTATTAATTATTATTTTATAAACTTGATTTGGATATAATATGAACAAAAGACCTTTATTAACAAACATTTTGTTTTACTAAAAATAGGTTATGTTATAAATATTATGTTCAAAACAAATATATAGGTATATAGTAAATACCTATATAAATGTATGTATAAATGCTTATCCACATTTTTATATTATATTAATTATTTTAACGATTAAATTTTATTTAGTACTAATAATAATATTTATAAGGGTAGTTTTGAAAGTCCATAAAACCTACATTTTTTTATTTGCTTATTAAAAGCAAAATGATAAACTAAAATATGAAAGAGTTGATAACCACTTTTCATAAATACTTTTTGAGTTATTACTTATTACTTTATTAGTTATTAACATTTACTGATATAAGTTGGGTTATTCTGATCAAATGTAATACACTTCTATCATTGAAATTGTTAAATAAACATGACAATATTTATTCAAGTTATAAATAAACAATGTAGATGTAAATATTACCAAAAAAAATATACCATTTCTATGACCACAATTTGTGTGGAGTACAAGGTATTTTTTTTTTAACATTTATTGGCTAATAAACTATTGCAGGCACGTCGAAATAAATCAAAATTGTTACAATGTGGTGATGTTTTCATTACAAAACATTCAAATCTTGCTTCTATACATCTTGTATTTCATATGGTTATAGATGATTCTTTAAAATCAGGTGTGAAGTTACCTAAGATTTTAAAACAGATTACATTAATAGAATAATTAGTTATTAATATTTTTTAAATATGATTTTAGCTGATATTAATTCTAGACATCCTGTGATTTTGGGTTTAAGAAATATATTGAAAGCTGCTTGTTCCTATGATATAACAATGCTAACTATACCGTTATTTTTAAATCATGAAATGACTGAAGTAAGGATATATTATTTGTTTTATGTTATATAAATATCTATTTTTTTGTGTATGCATATGATGATAATTATATATTTTTACAGGATATGACTGTTCCTTGGTGTCAAAAACGAGCTGAATTAGTTTTAAAATGTGCTAAAGGGTTCATGATTGAGTCTGTATCTTTAGGTGGATCAGAATTAAAAACGATTCAGTTTTTAGTACCAAAAGTTAGTGTTTTTTTTTAAGTATCAGCAACTCTGTAACTATTATCTGTGTTCATTTCATGTTTAGGGTATATCAGAGGAAGTATTTGGAATACTTGCAACAATGGTGCCAACAATATTTAGAGTATCAACACCACTTGTTTTTAACTCATCAGAACCTGATCAAAGTCTTTTAATCAAGAGTAAAAAAAAAAAACAAAAAAACAAATAGGTCTGTGGCAAAGTAATATATAATTTTTAATGAACAAATTAACCTTAAATATTTAAATATTCATTAAAAAGATATAAAAATCATGTATCCAAATGATTGTAAAACAAAAATCAATAATATTTAAATTAAAATGTTTAATAGTATCGGTTAAATATTTTAGTTGTTTTTATAAATTATTCTTAATTTCCTTTTTTAATCAATTTATATAGTGTCATGTTAAATATATTTTATTATTTATAAATAAATAATTTTTGTTTGAACTTTTGTTATAAAAAAAAAAAACAGTAATTACTGCCATTAACATTTATTTAAAATTCAAGTGGGCACCTAAGTGTGAAACCATTAAAAAAAAAAAGGACATAATACTATGTATATTAGCATAAATTCATTATGTAATAGATAAGCAATGCCTTTATATTAATAAATTGATTTTGTGCTCCTTAAAAAAAAAATAACTATAGTTTTAATATTGTTATTCTGATGACAATATAAAAAATGTGTTGCCTGTTTAATTTATCATATTAGGGAGGATAGTTAATAGCAGGCATGAGCCAATATGGATTGTACCCGGTATCCGATAATCCAATATTCTAAGCCGATTAATTTCCGATACCGATCCGGTCATTCTATTATAAAACATAAGCCGATAATTATAAAAACCGATATATCGGCCATATAAATCCGATATCCGATTTTACAGCCGATATGAATCATGTGACATCAAATCATACGATTTTTTGTAATGAAATTAACGGTACACTTGTTTGTTTTGTCTCGAATGACGGCTGACTGTTATCAATCAATAATATTAAAAAAGTAAAACGTGTAATGCTGTATAATATAAATTACTATACTCTTGGTTGGTACTCATACTTTTACTTTTTGAGTTATAAATTAAAATGGAATAACTTGAGTTATATCCGAGAATAAATATCTCATAGGCCGTAACTACATGAAATGATCTATAAAAATATAAATTGTAATTATAATAAACAATAATATCATATGTCGGAAGGCATTATTATTTAATATTTATTTTATATTATATAACAGCTAAAATTCTCCTTTAATATAGTAAAATTAATTATAGAGTTGATAACAAAATTGTTATTCGTTAATATCACAAGAATAATGTTTAAAAATGATTATCGAAATCTATTCCAGAGAGATTATGTGTGTTATCATGAATCATAATACCTGGTAGGTTAACCAATATTTACCGCGATATCTACGCGAGACACATGATTGCTTATAAATAATAATTATCAATGTACTTTTTTTGATAATTATCGGCGAGATATCGGTTTTTTCCTAAAACCGATAAAGTCAATATCGGCCGATATTGGATATCGGGTCATGCCGATACTCAGCTCTAGTTAATAGATTAATTTTTTAGCCAAGATCTGTTTTAAGTCACCGAATTTGATAACACCATAATAGTTCATAACTTTATGATAAAAATGTGTACAAAACAAATTATATTTACTATTTAGCGGTAAAACTAATAAAAAATTATTTTGGGCTAGAAAGAAAATGTGCAATTGCACAGGCTGTAAACTTTATATTATAGATTTATTGTTTTGAAAGATCTTAGTTAGATTTAAAGTATTAAGTGAACAACAATTATAAACATAAATATTACAGTTATGAGCTGAATCTTTCGCAAACCTTTAACGTAGCCGTTCAAACTTGCCCCGAGTTTGCTTAAGGTTTTCCAAACAATCCAATGAAATGGATTCACGTGAGTGGTTTGGCTTGCCACCCGATTTTAAATCTTCGTTATTATATGCAAATATATGGATTAAATTATGAAATGTATTTATAACAAGTGCGTGAATCATAAGTGCTTTATTTAAATTAGCACGTTTATAATTAACACAATTTATTGTCAATAAATATTAAAATAGCAAATAATCTATTATTGTAATATGTATTATAGAAGTAATTTGTAATAATTGGTAGTATACTAATATTTGCATGATATAACAACTACTCTTTGTAATTACTAACAGCAAATGCAATTACTATTATTGAAAGAACCATTATGTAGAAAAATGTATTTGCCTCCTAATCAGTTTCTGGTTGGGCGACCAACGTGTCTCACTGAGAGCGTTAATGTAGTTGTGTGAACAAAATTAAAAGTATAATATTACAATAAGTATTTTATTTATTACTATTAAACTCTTAAGGAAGTTAGTTATTCTCTTTTCTATGATTTATACTCGGAATTAAAACTGAAAACTATTTATTTTCTGATAGTGGAAGTTCGCTTATATTCGTTTTTGAATCACTGTCTTATCCACTCTTATTACGCATAGGACATATTAATAATAATCATTTTCCGAGAGAGCCTCATTTGAGTTCTATCATTGAGTATATATACTATATATACTCAATGGTTCTATCTTAAACGCTGGTTTAATAATTTAAAGGGCACAGCGCCCTGCGCAGACCGTACTCCGTAGTGAGCACTGAGCAAATATCACTTGGGACTTGGGTAACTATAATTTCACTATCACTTTTATAGTGGATGCAGATGACTGGTGATTGGTGAAGGTAATTGGTAGGAATGTCAGCCGTCAGGCGCTCTGGCCTCTGACTTCGGTCGTCATCCCCACCACCTGTCGAGGTATTCGGTAAATAAGGTTAGTCTGGGTAGGTATATTATTATTTATTCTGTATTCACTATTTGTATGGGTTTTTGGCTACCGGTGACTCGCAGGCCACAGCGCTGCCGGGTCGACCCACTACTGCCGTAGTTTCCATGGAAACCTATTGTCTTCCCGGTGAAATCATACTGTAATATTTACTGACGTCATAGGAGCTTTAACGATTTGCCTCTAGGCTCTATCCAGCTGCCAGCATCCCTTGCGGTAATCACTAATCACGATGACTTCACAAGGAAGACTCGTCTTGTTGATGCCTATTGCCTACAACACCGAAAGTACCGTTGCTAATGGATTATTTAAAAGTAACCAGTGAGTACTTCTCTTTTGTCTCATTTTTTGATTCTAACTATAAATAATTACGTTTTAGTAATTTTATATTTGTATAAATATAAACAAAAACATTCAAAATATCTACTTGTTTCCATATTGTTGTTTGTTTATTGAAACTGTATCATTCTCTACTATTATTTACAATACTATTTTTGGATTTTACTTTTTTTAATATACCAATAATTATAGTGGGTATAACTTTACTGTCCACCTTCTCATTTTGCCATCTTTTGTTTTTTATGCTGTTTACAAACCTGAAGTCGAAAATCCGTAGATTTCTCTGAATTAAAATTGTATAGTTACTTGATCTTTGAGAATTTTTGTTGTGCGAGACAACCTTGTCAATATTAAATATCACATTTTGGTCCCATAAAAAATCATAAGCCTTAAAAATAAATTAAATTAAAATCTGTTCAATAGAAAAGCTAAATCATGATTTCTTCATCTACTTAAGTAATTTTTACTAAACTATCACCTTAGCTCATACCAAAATAATTAATGATTTAAAAAGTAATATTATACATAAAACTTAAGGACTTATTTAAAATGGCTCCTATGCTGTAAAATAAAATTCATGTTTTTTGTTATTTCATGTTTTAAATAGTTTTTATACTTCCCCTAAAATAGATTTCTTGATACACCACTAATTTAATTATACATTAAATATTTTATTATACTAATACATTTATAATACATGATAAATTAAATGTTTGTTATTTATTTTTAGAATAAAATTAAAAAAATATTAAACCAGAACGAAAGATTTTTGTATTTATATCCTAAATGATACACTAAAGGTCTACAATTTTTCAGTAGTATGATGGAGTGGTAAGTTTAATTTTTAGTATAAATAATAACTTACAATGAATAATAAAAATATTTATAAACTTTAATAACCATTTATAAAATAGGTATGTAAGATTGTTAGTGAACCATCCTCGCAAGGTTATAGCTGTTGTAATTGTGTTGTGTATGACTACTATCGTGATACCACATATAGTTGGACAACGACCTCAGTTTTCACACCCTGAACTTGTAAGTTTTAATTTTTTTATAACCGATTAAGTTTGTTTTTTATTTATTATTATTATCAAAATAGCTAATATAAATACGGTTTAAATGTTAAGTATTTATTTTTATTTTTTAGGGGTTTGAAACACGAGGTACTGAAATTGGAGATCGACAAGTAGCTTGGGACAACTTGATCAAGGCACTGGAAAAAGGTTATGAATTATTAGACGACGTTACAAGGATTCCATTAAATGCATTACCACAAAACTATGATCAAGAAATGACGCTCTCAAAAGATGAGCCAAAATTACATTTTGTAAGTACATTTCTGTAAACCTAATATGTAACGACACAACAGGTAGGTTATACCGTAAATTAAGTATAGGCAGATAATGTTTGTAAATCGATCCGACTGATTTAATCATTTTTGTATAATTAAAATGATCTCTTAAGTCTTATGTGTATTTTGACCATTTTTTTTTTGTTAAGTTTGGAATTACAGAAATAATTCAAAAATGATAAAATCTCTATTACTTTAGGTGGATTTACAATTTCTTTAATTTACAATAACATTTTTTTAAAATTTAAATTAATTTTGCTTACCTCTATTTCAAACTGTTAAAAACTTCTGAAAATAAAAACCCTTTTATTGAAATATCATAGAACAGAGGTATTCAAACTAAGTGTTGCAACTCCCAGGGGCGTCACATTAGTTGGTCAGGGGAGCCATCAAAATATTGTGAAGACACAAAAGAGCTGTGGGATGAAAAAGTTTAAATACCATTGTCATAAAATATTAAAATGAATGTTGCACTAATAAAATATTTTAAAGTAAGTAAGAACGAAATTCCTAAAAGAAATATTAATGACGAAGGCACTCGCCTATTGAAACTTTCTTTTTGATATTCTATCATATCGTAAAAAAATGTTTGTTTTTAAATTTTTGGTATTTTCTAAGGTGGTTTTTTAGATTTTTTTATTTGCATTAGGCATTCTTATATACTATCATTGATAATTGGAAGTTTTTAATAATTTTAATGATTAAATTTATCACCTATGTAAAATTTGTTAATTTAACCTATCGTACTTTTAACATTGTTCCTATACCTAGGACTAAGCCTTAATTATTAGTTCTAATAATCTTATATTTATGTGTTTTAAGTTTTTATTTAGGGCTACTTTGTCTAATTAGTACTTTTTATTTATTTTATAGGATTATGTGCAGCAAAATGTTGTAACTTCAAGTGACATGTCAAAAAAAACTGTACCTCATACTACTGAGTTTGATGATGAAGTATTTGAGGAAACTGAAGTGATGACGTTAAGAAATGATAAAAAAACACGGAAAAATCGACTTAATTTCTTTTGTTCCAAACCAAGTATTATAAGTTTAATTAATTTAATAGATGTAATATAACTAATACAATTTTAAATCTAACTATAGGTTGTGTTGTATACAAAAGAATAAAGTACTTCTATTCAATATAATAATGTAGGCAAATTGAATATAACCAACTTAGCGACACTATTTTTTTTTTTTAATATTTTAGTTTTAATTTAGAAAAAAACTGAAGCAATATTTGTGGTTATTTATAGTTAAGAAATAAAATATTTAAATATTTAATTAAACCCTTAACCACAAAAATAGTGCTATAGTGTATACTTATTTCGGCAGCAATGTTATGATCAGCGCGTACAATATCATATCAGTCTCAGTTTGTAGTTTGCGCTGATGATGGTAAGGTTACATGGCTGTCGAAATATGTATACGCTATAGAGTATTATTATTGTGCTTTAGGGTTTATTTAAATGTTCCATTATTTTAGTTCTTTAATATTGTAGTTTTAATAAAAATATTAATTGATTTTTTTAGCTTATGATCATGCAAGAGTAGTTTTTACTCTTAAAGAAGGCAACGATCTTCTCTCATATGAAGCAGTAAAACATATGTGCATTATTCAGCAACAACTAGAAAATTTAGATGCATATAAGGATGTTTGTGACCAACAAGAACATGCATGCTGTCCACCGTGGTCATTAGTTAATTACATAACACTATTAAAAAAACATAAGTCCTGTTCAGAAATTACAGTAAATAATAAAAATTATAAATTAATTTATAAACAAAAACAAGTAGTATACTTTTATTAATCTATATTTTAGCCAAATGACATTAATTCTACGGTTACAATACTTGAAGGATGTGCTCATTATTATCATGATGATGAACTCGTAGAGTGGACTCGAGGTTATAGATCAATACCACATCAATGTATACAGTTTAATGTTGTTTATAATCTAATGCATTATCATTTGGATGTTAATTTTATGCCACCACATGTAAGTTGAATCTTTATTATGTATAAATTATTCTATGATATATTTATATTAAAATGATTCAGCTTTAGACATTATCATTATATTTTCATTAACTAATTGATGTGAAGATACTATTGTTTTGTGGAATTAGTTATTTTGAGTTATTAAAAGTAATAAACCATTGAGTGTTATGAACATTTCATGGAAAACAAAGAAAAATTTAAGACATCAACGTTTCACATAATAGGAATCTGCCATAGTATTAGTATTTAATAATAACTAAGTACTGTGTATAACTCACATATTTTAATTTGTTTCAAATCTTTAGGCTCCTACACAAGTTCTTACGAGTTCAATGATGTTTTTACCATTTGGAAAAGGGTCTATTATACATGTTTATAAAGCTATGAAAGATGCAAATTTATCCACCTCATTAGTTGAAATTTCTGCTATTGATTTTGGTATAAAAATCTTAAAAATATTGTATTTTAATAAATAATTTTTTTTTTAGATACTGTTTAGGTGCGGGTGTCTTTTTTGCTTCAAAACATGTTTCCTGGAAATAGGGATCCTAAATAAAGGTCGAATTAAGATTATTTTTTTTATTGAAAGTAGAGAATATTTTAGTGTGCTATAATCGCCAATTTTTAAAATATAAAAATGTTTACTCTGTAATATCATCTAAAAATTTCTATAATTATTATATTTCAATTATGCTTTCTGAGAATAGCTATTATTTTAATGAAAATCATCGAACATAGTGGACCTTAAGATGTTCTCTACTTTAAATAAAAAATATAAGCCAGAACCTGCACCTCAATAAAAATATAAATAACAGAGTACATTATATTAGTAGTAATGTATAAATCATTAATATGTTTTTGTAGGGATTAAAGATACCCTGTTTGATATTGAGCTTGTGCAAGACATCAACTTTGTTGGGCTTAGTCTATTTTTCATCTCAAGTTGTGTGTGGTTTTACACATGGTCATGGATTATCACTGCTGTTACACTATTAAATATAGTATTCTCTTTATCGGTTTCCCATTTTATTTATACTTTCATATTGCGTATTCAATTTTTCCCATTTATGAATGTTCTTGCAATAATTGTGCTCATTGGAGTCAGTGCAGATTCAGCATTTATTATGTGTGATGTTTGGAAAGTGGTGAAGTTCAATGACCACACTGATTCTTTAGATGACATTATTTCAAAAACATTGAAACACTCGTTATTATCTATAACACTCTCAACTGCCACAACATTTTGTGCTTTTGCTTCTTCGTTTGTAAGCGCAATAAACGGAATAAGCTGTTTTAGGTATGTTAATTTAGCTATTCAAAAAGTATTATTAGTTTTTCAAATAATGTTTGCTCTTTTTTTTCCAGTATATTTTCAGCTATGGCTGTATTCATCAACTTACTAATTACAGTTAGTCTTTTACCAGCTTGTATTGTACTTTTAAGTTCTAAATACAAGAACCAATCAATAATATTAAATATCGGATCAATTAATAAATTGAAGAAAATTGAGCAGTTTTTACGAAAAATCCAAACAGTGTTTAACTCTTGGTTATTAAAAATTGTGTTTCGTTTTCGATGGGTTTGGATTATACTAATCTTCAATTTGGGTCTTTTGAGTGTTTGTGTCTTATGGATATGGCCTGGAATGAAACTACCAGAATCTGTTGAATTTCAACTTTTTCGAGAGTCGCATCCTTTTGAACAATATGATTTAGTATATAAAAATCAATTTTGGTTTGAACGAGTGAGAAGGGTAAAATCATATATAATATACAAATAGTTATTAAGTTGTATGGTATTATTATTCATTTTTTTAAATTTTAGATTGACAATAATCCAGAAAATCGCGTCCCACTTCGTTTTGTATGGGGAATATTACCTACTGATACAGGTTATCATCTAGATCCAGAAGATCATGGTGATTTGGTCTATGATCCAGAATTTGATATGGCCCATCCGAAATCACAAGACTGGCTATTGCATTTCTGTGTAAATTTACGTTCACAGCCTTTCTTTAGAGCCGTTGGTGGGCCACAACTGACTAATTGCTTTATGGAAACATTTATCAGATGGATGGATCGACCTTGCGTTAGTCCTGTTGAACAGAATCGTTGGCCTTGTTGTAACACCTATCAGTTTCCATTCCCGAGAAATATATTTCATTTTTGTATAGTTAGAGCTATGTATATTATTTATAGCACTCCGAATAATTTATTTGTTCCTACTGTGGCCGGTCCCAAGTTTTCAAATCCATTGTTTCATCCTAAAAATCAATCACGTTTGCCAATTATGAAAGCTGTTGTTGTGGAGTATGAAAGTAACTTTGTCTTTACTACATCTTATGTCGATATGGAAAATTTTTATAAACAAGTAATTAGTTTTAGCTTATATATATTGCTCACAATTCATTTTTTAAATTCTATTGTGATTTAATTATAGGTTGAATCCTGGTCATCCAAAACAATGGAAACGGCACCACCTGGACTTAGAAATGGTTGGTTTTATAGCCACCTAGGCTTCTATGATCTACAAAAAGCGTTAATCGAAGACACCATTATGTCAGCTATTATTGCTTTAGCTCTAGCTTTCATAATTATGTTCTTTGTGACCATGAGTATTTCATTAACTATGATTACCGTCACAACTATATTCTTCATAATTAGCTCTACGATAGCAATACTAGTTTTAATGGGCTGGCGACTCAATGTCATGGAATCAGTCGTTACTTCGGTAGCTATTGGTTTGTCTGTAGATTTCAGCTTACATTACACTGTTGAATATCTAATGGCTTGTGAAGAATTACCCAGAGCAACAGCTGTATCAAAAGCATTATCGTTGTTGGCATGTCCGTCACTGATGGGTGCAATAACAACAGGTGCTAGCGGAGCATTTATGTTACCTTCAGATGTTTTGCCATATGCCCAGTTAGGCATATTTTTAATAATAATTATGATGATTAGTTGGTTCTATTCAACCTTTTTCCTAGTATCGTTATTGTCAGTATTCGGTTCTAATTATAGACAAAGCGCCGCCTACCCTTCTCGTTGCTGTAGAAGAATGTGTGGTGTGGATGAAAATGAACAAAATAGAACCCATATAAGACAGGCCTCTCCATTTTCTAATGTCCCATCCGAATCAACAGTGTCATGTATAAGTACAGCTGTTGTAAACCAAACTTCGGCCCATGAATTGGATACATTAACTGTACATTCAGTGAAACCCCAGTCATCAAACTCAAAAACCACAACTTGTTTGTATTTGAAGGTTGACGAATCGTCAAAAATGGGAGACTCTAATAGTGGTATACATATTTAGATTGTTATTCTTCTGTAAATTATAACAATAAGTTATAACACATTTCCAAACCTTTTTAAAAATCTGTCGGAGATAAAATGTTAATTATTTAATTGATATGAAGTATCTAAACTAAATATAATAGTTGATGTAAGCAGTTTTAATTTTGATCTCAAAAGCATGTATTTTGTTTTATTGTTGATTTTCAAGACGGATAAACATAACTATATTTTAAATTGTAGTTAATTTCATTAAAGTAAATACTAAATACTTGTATTAATGTATTTTAGTAGCCTAATTCAGTTTATAAAATCACGCTAGGCTTAATTATAAGAAAATGATCGAATTAAAAAGCAATTGATTAGTGAGACAAGTTGATATGGCCATATGAACCAAAAAGTACATATTTCTCATGCCTTCTTATTTTATCTGCTGATTAACTATTATTATTATTCATTTTGTGTTTATTTAGGAGAATGCAATTGTCAAAAATTACTGTATAGTTGGCTAAATTGAGCAAGTAAAAGTATTCTACTAATCATAACTATGTTTTTTGTCTGTATCTAAGATTTAAATGGAATCTTTTGAGTTGTTCTTTATTAGATAAAATAGTTTTATTAACTAAAATTAAAATGGTAAACTACAACAACGTGAATATGTATTTATATATATATATCATTTATAATCTTTAGAAGGCAAAAAAACTGTTAATTTGTGCTCTCTTAAGTATAACCAATACCTACCTCGTAAAAAAAAGCTCATTTCGTTGTAGCCATGAAAGGTATAATTTACCTCTACCTAAGTTACCTTTATATTTTTAATTTAGTATAATTCGTTTTAAATTAATTTGTTTTATTTAAGAATAATGCATTTATTATTACTCTTGAATATATTTTTAAATTGTGTTATATAAATGAACGTGTTAATTTGTTTTGAAATTTGTTTCTGTTATTCAATTTTTGTGTAAGTTGTATTCTGTGTCTGTGTAATGGTATTAATTACATTAAGTATATTATTATTTGTTATAAATTTGGATTGTTCTTAATGGGTCGTAGGTTCAAGTATAGTATTATTTGATATTGTATTGTAGACAAAATCATAAACTTTTCTAAAAAATTTAATTTTGAAAACTATTTGTCCCAAAAATAACAGTTGCTTAATGAAATTTGTATTACAATACATTATTCCTCCAATTAGATTAATGTACTGGCAAGTACATTAATAAGTCCGTAACAAATTTGTCAATTTTCCTTTGCTTTATTAATATTCTTAACTTTTAAACTAATTCTGTAGTATTTTTTAAATTAACATACAATTTAATGTAATTTATGCATAAATTGGGTAGATATTTTCCAATTATTGTTTTGTAGTATTTAGTATTTAATATTGACTGTTGTAATAATAATCTGTTCTTGGTTTAATAATTTGTATTAACCTATTTAAGTTTTTAAAAGCTTTTCTGTTTATTGAACCAATCGTTATTATTATTATTAAATATTAGTATAAACATATTAGAATTTAAGAATCTGTACATTGTTTTTTTATCATAATGAACGTTGCTCTTGTTAATAATATTTGTGTACACTGTACTTTTTATGACGAAAAACCACTTATACACAATATCGCACGCTTTGAAGATATTTTTGTGCTAGTTTCACTATTAAAAAAAAGGCTTAAATTAATTGAACTGTGGTTTGACATGTCTGTACAAAACTCTTTTGTCATGTCAATTGATTCAGTTATAACGATATTTTACTGGGTTAATATATATTAGTATGTACATTCATATTTATTCATTTTACCAACATATTACTTAGTTCAATATTATTAGAATATTTAAGCGTGATATTTGAAGGATACAGGGAAAAACTGTATTTTTAAACATGCTTGTTTTTGTTTGTTTAAATAACTGTTTTTTCTGGTCTGTACTTAACCCTGAAATTTAGTAGAGCCGCGTATACCTACCACGATGTAGATATCTTCTCTACACCGTGGTGTATACTATTCTATTAACGTGGTGTTTGATAATAACAATGCGACAATTGGTAAAATTTGATATTATTTAGGAATACACTACCTTTGTTATCGATTTCTCTTATACGATAAAGGTGCAAAGTCCATTTGTCGGAAGCGAGTAGCGACCGCCCTACTCCCTAGTATACTGTATTGACATTTACCGCTAGCTCTTTAGCTGCTGACTTCGATGTTCGACAAACCTACACGTGGTTATACACTTATATCTATCACTTTACATATCTTTGCGAGTTAAAACCGGTCGCCGACTTATGCTATAAATATATTTACCATATCTTATTATAATATAAATAGGTATTCTGTATTAGCGCGATTTTGTTGTACCAGTAACCAAGGTAAGTGCGAATAATTAAGCTTTAAAGGAATGATTTTCTCTGCCGAACACGGTTTTAACTCGTAAAAAACCCAATCACTAACTCTTCAATTGTTTTGGAAATAAAAACTTCTAAACAAATTATGTTTAGTTAAATTTGCAATGCGTCTTTTTTGGGTAATTAAATTTGTCTACATGTATTATGTATTTCTTCTGAAGTCCTGATATTCGTGGGTTATTTTCATAGGCGCAATTTCAATTTTTAACTTGGGGGGGCTGGACAATTTTTTAAAATATATATATATAAGTAAATATATTTTTGTATTTCAAAATTGTATACATAACCTAATTTTTTTGGGGGGCTAAGCCCACCCTAGCCCCCCCGTAATTGCGCCTATGGTTATTTTTCTGAAAAAAATTGCGAGGTTTATTCTAAACCAGTTTGCGAGTTGCGACGTTGACGGCTTTGATGAAAGCACTTTATCGCTCCTTCATCACCCGTCACAAAATATGATTTTGTGTAAAATGACATAGGTATTAAAAAACTTATTTACGTTCGTACGATACCTATATTTGTTTGTGTATTTGTTCTTACTCTACTATAGATAAGTATTCAAGTGTAAATAAATCAGACATTCGTGAATCGCGTAACATAAAAATTCCAATCGTGCTGGCTGCTGGCCGTCCGGTCCGTGCTTGATTATTCGCTGTACTTATAAAATAAGAACAGATGGGCGAATAATCAAGTTGATTACTTTTGTTTTACCAGGGATAGAACTGATATTTAAATATCCGGATTGCCCCCAATAGTTCATATTACTCCAAGTCCCCGCCCCCTTCTTAACCATTAACGATTAAAAACGTATGCAATTTAATATAAATAATTCAAAAAATATTTGTCATTAGGTACTTGGTTTCAGCAAGGACAAAATGGCTGAAAAAGAAAATGGCAGAGAATATTCAAGACTTCAACCGAATCTAGTTGTAGATCACCGGGATCGTCAAATCGCGGATCTTAACGAGCGAATCGAGCAGATCGCCTCAATGATCTCCAACCCATCGACACATCGTTTAACTGATCCATTCCCTTTCTGTTCGCCTTGGCAAGTAAAGATAGCGTCGCTAGACACGGTAAAATCGAATCCAGTTGCTTGGACGCTATATTGCCGTGATTGGGTGGAAGGCAAACGAGATACAAAAGCGATACCAGAGGTTGAACGTCCGCCACATATGTCTCATATAAATGGGGCCAGGCCATTAATGGCAACGCACACCGTCACTAGAGCTGCATCTTTTACACAGCCGCTTTTACCACAAAGTGTCCAACCTTTAATTTCCCCAATCAACCAGGAAAATACTTCTTGGTTAGTTAGTAAAACTGTGGTTACAAATCTGACTCCAGTCAATCAAGGCGCTAGCACATCGACGGTATTGGCCAACAACCCAACTACCATGACTCTAGCAAGCCAATCGATCTTAAAACGCAAAGCCAAGAGTCCATCAAAACTACGCAAGGATCGGATTAAATTACAAGCATTCAAGCAAAAAAATAAATAAAATACTGAATGACAAACGGGAGACAAGTTCATATCAAACCGGAAGTACCGATGAAGGCCAAAAACCTTAATTCGGCTCCCTTCAATCAACTGCTAAATAATCTATCATTGAAGTACACCAAACGTCCTACTACTCTCTTTTTACTCCTCACTGTTAATTATTATTAATATAATTTAAACCCGGATCAGAAAGTTCGAATATATTTTTTTCCTAGACTGCGTTTACCTAAACCCTAGGAAATCAACTCAATTAAAAAAAACGTCAAACCTATCCGCCGAGGTTCCGGACATTCGAACCTCATCCTTTCAAAGAACAACTCGTTCTTTTGGACTGATTTGTGAACAAGGATATAATTCGAAATGGTAATTTTACGTGATCGATCGTTTGCAGCAACAAGCGATGCTTAATCAGAGAAGGCGACACGTGTCGTTTGTTATAAGTATGTGATACACATATGAACATACGTGTCAAATTCTTCGATTAGTAGACGCACTTTGCGAATTAATGGTTGATATCCGAGTATCCCTGCTTAGTGCTTATATACCCGGAGTACAAAGTCCATCTACTGGAAATATCCTTCCACCGATTGCGACTTTGCCCCCGTTACTTAGGTTCTTATGGTTTACATAAATATTACATGAACAATTTTGGAAACAAACAAATTTTGTTTTAAAATATTATAATCTTCGTTGTTAATTAATCGATACTTCGAAAATGCTAACAATGTTTATTTTATTTTTATTGTATTATCATACCACGCACGTGTCAATAATATGATTTTACAAATTCAATAGCCGTGTCCTTTTGTTTTGCATGAGGACTGGCTGTTTTCCAGCTTTATAAATAGGGAAAGGTATAATTCACGTGTTCATAACTCATGGTGAATTCAATTATTTTATTCCTCAAAAGTAAAAAAAATTGATGAAATCAAGAGTTTATAGAATCATTAGGTACCTATTATTTGTTTGAAAATATACGAGTGTACAAATATTTTTTACACTCAATTTTTATAGGCACATTCGTCATTCAGTAATTTAGAAATTACATAGCATTATATATATATTTTTGATAAATCATAACTCATCTGATACAAAAAGTACATCATCAATTTTTTATTCGACGTTTTAATATAATATTATTTACATAGGTTTTTTACACTTTGATTAATATATTAGTTTAGTATGACGTTTGAACTAAATAGGTAACAACATAATATAATGTAATTATATTAAAAAACTTAACGTATATACAAGTTCATTAATAATATGTAAAAAAAAATCAGTCTGTAAATATATGTATTAGATACTTAAACAAAATTAAAACGGTTAATCGTAAACATTTGTAGTTATGTAAGACAAGTATAAATAAATAAAACAGGACATAGGCAATATTACAGATTAAATATACTTTTATAAGTATATTTAGTCTATGGTAATATAATGTAAGATTCGAAAAAATCTAAAATATGTTAAGTATTATTTGCTAATTTATTGAGATATTATATCGAAAGTTATAAATAGGATTTGATAAGATATGATTCAATTGTACCTATTTATAATATATAAACCAATAACCTCTTAAGTCATTGAATAATTATCGAATAAAAATATTATTTATTTAAAATATGAAAGGTAGATTTAATAACGGATAGATTTTGCTTGTGTTGTGTTGAGCTTTAAAATTAAATTAGACAAGTTTTTTTTATTATAAAAATAATGTTATTATTTAATTTAGGATTAAATTTTTAATTTCTTGAAAATGATAATATTTTACTAATATTTTGATTTTTGGTACTTTTTGGTTAACAGTACTACTCAGATTATTTGTAGACAACCAGCAGCTAGCGATTTTTGACGCTGGCACAAATATATTGTTCTATATTCTGTATTTTTGTTTTGCCATAAAGCTTAATTTTTAAATTAAAATTTACTTTTATTTTTAATGGTGTGTTTATTAGTAATAAAATTACTTTTTAATAATCCCTTATGTGTGTGGTGCAGTGGTATAAGGCGTTTAGAAGTATTGTTTTCAATTGCCGTTGCACTGCTAAACATACGTTGTTTGCCTCCCACAGTCCCACCCCCCACACAAGTCCTGCATTCTTGTAGGGAAGCAATATTATTACGTGTTATAACACCTAGTAAAATTTATTAAAAATTATTATAATAATTGGATAAGTAGACAAAATATAATAGGATAAATTTTTATAAATAGAGACATTGTGGTATGTAGTATGAGTATTGTAAAATGTGAAATGATAGATAATAAATAAAAGCTAGTAAAAGTGAATACTCCTACATTTACAAGTAAAGCTATAGTAGCTGCAACTAAATTAAAGCTATTAGACATTTTTAGTTTTAGCCTCAACGGTTAGATTTAGTAAAATAATTAAACATTTATAGACTCGAAATAAATAATCTGAATCTGTCTGCGTTTCTTTTAAAATGTATCTGTTGACCAGAGCCGTGTCGGGACGAACTCAATTATATGAATTCGATTTCGTATTGGACTGTTTAACTTAAAAACAAAACTCTAATGAATTTTTAAGTATGAAAACCTAATAGTGCTGTATAGATTTAAAACAAAAACCGTTAATGTACGCATTTAAATAATTTTTTTTTTTAAATATGTGATTGGTTAATTTCTGGACCGGACCGGATTTGTGTACAGCTATCGAAATGAATGCATCATTATTAAATTTTTGAGCAATAAGTCGTGTTTTTAAAAAAATTCTGACCTTATTATAAAGTAAATGTCTAATACTCTAATGGAACGAGGAATTGTTTACATTGTTAGGTATTACAATACACTGACCTTTCACCTGATTTATTCATTTAAAAATATTTCGTTCGATACTAAAATTAGTATACATAGCTTTTCTTATTAAAATTTAATTGAATACAATATTATTTAGTTAGGTATATGAAATAAATATAACTACAACAAAACTAATTTTATTATGTCAATTTAGACTTTTTAATGTATTTGGAGAAAGATAAAATAGGTAACGTTTGGCTATTTATGACAACAATACTATCATTTCAATTGTTAACTATTATTAATCGTAAACGAAAGTTGTGATGGTAAAAAAGATGGATAATTGGATTATCCATATAAAAATATTATCTATATTATTTGGAAAAGCCGGATATCTGTATTTTTTTGTAAAAGAATCCAAATTATTAAAATTTGTTAATAATTTATTGATACCTAGCTTGAGTAGCTAATTGTAGATTTTAAGATTTGTTTCCAAATATGTTTTCAACTGATTTTTCTAATAATTATTTTATTGGATTAGACTTTGATTCAATTTAAACCTGTATTGAATACAAACCTCTCCATTATTATTATAAACATTTCGTTTCTTAAACCGTAAAAATTGATACAAGCTTCAGATTTTTGTTTTGTTTTAGGTTATTCCTAACAAAATATTTAATAGGTAAACATCTTAAATATTGAACGAGTTTTAGCTTTAAATTATAGAGTGTCCTATAATAGTGTGTTAAGTACAAACGGGCTAAATGCTCAAGTATTTAGTAAATAAAAAAAAATAATAAAAAAAATATGTAAATCAACGACTAGAAATAAATTCGAAAGTCTTTTAATTTTTGCTTATTCAAGTTGTCTAAGCTCATTCATAGGTTATCAACGGTCCGTCCGCTAGAAACAATACATTCTCGACGTGGTTGATGACGTTTGAGATGAGCAAGGCAATCGGTTGACCGCCGCCTTGCTACCGTTTTGTCATCCGTAAAAGTACTGCGAGCTATCATTTCGACTCAGACTCTTTGGCGCAACACCGTCATTTCCGAATCTCACCACCTATTGAACAAATAACCAAGTTCTATGTCACGTGATATTTGAATTTACATTTTTTCAACTATAGAGAGAGTTACACCAATTTGTAAAATTTAATAAAACTCAAGATATGTACGTTTCTAGTTCACTGGGAAGTTAAAAAAAGTCGATAACTATCGCACGGTCTACGGAATAACCCGCAAGATTTTTGTCTAACTATTTTCCATCAATTATGATGTTTTAGTGTTGTTCAATTATAAGTTATAAATATTACACTTTCATCAATACTTTCGTGTTACATTTTAAATAAACGTGCACCTCTTGAGATAAGTGTGAGATGGAACCCAAATGCAATTATTGTTTTTACACAGGTCGACAAACAGCTAATGTCTAGTTTTACCTCACTCGGCGATAGTTGTAATTGAGTTGGTATTACAGTGATGGGTAGTTGTGTGATATCCGTTAGGTCTATGTCAGCGTCTACTTCGCTGATATTGTCACCAAAAGCGTTTGGGTCGTTGGACAAATCGCGACTCGAGGCTTCAGATTGATGTTTGCTGTCTATATGCCGTCTGGAACGCTGCCATCCGAACTTAACTGCTATCACGCACAGCACTGACATTATGCTGCCAACCAAAGCGCCGCCTAGATATATGTAAATAGTTTCTCGCTTTTCTAAACAAACAAGGAAAAAAAAAAGGTTAAATAAAGCAAGAAACATTTAAAATAATGCGTAATTTATAAAACAAAAAAAAACTCAATAACGACTAAGGACACGGAAGGAGATATTATATTTTGGTTGGATATTAAAAAAAAAAAATGTTTGAAATCCAAATGAATTTTAAAGACTCGAGGGACTTGCGTACAATCACATTTTTTGATTATATTTGAGAAGTAAAACAACCTATTGTTGTTAATATTGAATACTATACATTATTATTATACTTATGTATAGAGCAAATAGATATAGAACAATATCTTCATTGTAAAATAACTGCGAATTTTGTTTCCTTGAGATCTTTAAATGGATTTTTTTTCTTCTATTTAGAATAATTTATTATTATTTGGATGGTATACAAGAATAAGAATAAGGCAAAGCTCTAAAATATATTTTGGTAGACATTTTAAAAATATTTATTACATTTTGAATTATAAAGTTATCAAAGAACAAATACAATTTGTATGCAAATAATATACATCGGTCGCATGTTCTTACAGTATGTTATACCTAAACATTAATATTTTCAATTGTATACGCTGTATAGATATAATCTAGTATGAATGTTGTCAATAAAAATATGACTTATTAGTTATTAGCCGAACGGTTTTGTGACTCTTTTGATTTCATCTATTTTGTGATCTGACCGTATAATTGTTTAACTTACTGTATGTGATATTGTATGATAAGTAACCGAAAGTAACCAGATTAGCCAAGAAGCTATTTTCACCGGCGGCCTTTTTTGTGGTAGTATTTTGTCCAGGAATCAAAACTGGTTGATGAGACATATGTCGAGATATCGTACCTAATGTAGATGTAGATATTATATTTCGTCATTAGTGTAGTTTTATTTTAACCCGTAAGCGAAAAAATATATGTTGATATTAATTATTTGCAACGTATATTATTGTTTGTGCACAAAAATATGTACATATTTATTATAGTATGTGTAATGAAAAAGTGAAAAGTGTAGGTTTATAAATTGCCAATAAGAACATATTGCCACCAATAATAAAGCCAGCCGTGAAACAAAATAGCGTATTAATGAAAGCATTTTTGTTTTGTAACAAAATAACTTTTTTTGGTGTGCACATGTTTTCAAAGAAGCACTTTTTTAGGATGTCATTAGTATATTAAGCATAGGTAAATCCGTAGTATCCGATATCCTGTACACATTCTTGTACAGATACGGTGAGGGATACAGGTTTCATTGGAGATTTTTCATGTTTAAAAATTAATAAGCTTTTGAGAATAATACAATTAGAGAAGGGAGATACAATTTTTAAACCTCTGCCTGAATATGACCATAGTCAAGCATCATAATAACAATGTTAACAAAAAAGTTAATTGTTTACATAGGCTTTTTATTTTTACTTAAGAAAAGTTTTGCAGTAATAGAACATTTATTAAGACATATTACTCTTTTACCATGTTTTAATATTGCCACGTATTTATTTAGGTAATACTACGGTCTTAAATTTTGCACAAATGTAATAAGCCTTTTTACTGCTTTATTTGTACCGTGCAACCTTTAAAATAGGCCTTTCATGCAAAAGTTAAGTGATAAGGCACCCTTATGGAAATACTGATATTAAATGAACTATTAATCAATTGAACTTAAATAAAATAAAATTGAATTGTTTATTTTAAATATACAATCATAATGTATTATAGTAAGATTATTAATAAATGCGTTTTTAAAACTAATTTAACAACACGTCGTAATTTTCTTTATTATACATTTTTTTTTATCCTTATTTACAAAAGAATGACGGTAGAAAAATATTTTGAACAATAGTATTTTTTAATGCTAAATTTTCATCATAACTTAAAAAAACGACCACATGTATTAATTTAAAATCTAATATCAGCATCTATCAATAATATTAAAAAAATATTATATATATATATATATATATATATATATGTATATATAACTATTATTGTATAAAATAATTATTTCATTTTCTTGTTACTTACCTAAAGACGAGCTGGATGTGTTACTGTACTCAATATTACCAGTAGACGTCTTATTGTATCTTGTCCTGGGGTCGTTTACCGGCGGGGATAAAGATTCAAATGGCTGAACCGGGGCTACACCGGGGTTGTCAAAGTAGTCTAGTTCCATTACGGTTGGTTCATCAGAATGTGCAGGTTCTTCGAATTGTTCTTTTAACACTCTCCGGGGTACTGTTAAAACCGATATCCAAAAAATGTAAATTAGGATACAATATATCATTATTTTTGTATAATACGTTTTGTTTTGTACAACTATATTATACTGTTTGACAAATATCGTATATCATGGAAATTGCCGTTCCAAAAAAAAAAAATTTACATTAGTGCACTCGAAGGAATATTATATTAACATGATAGATGGACTAAATGTTGGTATTTAAAAAAAAAACGTACACGACCCTACAACAGTTTAAAAATATTAATATTTTTTGAATATTTGTTGGATTTGGTTAAAAGTATTGTTTAATCTTTGTGTTATTAATGCATTATTTGATTTCCTATGTAAAACACGATATGTAAAAAATATTTGGATAATATTTAAATGATCATGATAATTATCATTAAAATGTATTATTGATGTATAAGTGTATACAAAATATAGTTAATTTATTATAGTTATTATGTTATAGTTATAAGTTATAACTATATTATGTAACTATATAAATGCTAAACACATACACATAGAATAAAGTTGCATATTATACAGGGTGTCCCCCAAAGATAAGACAAAAGTTATTTAACTTTTGTTTTAGTGAATATTTTTAAAATTTGTTTTTAAATTAATTTATACTGATTTTCGCTGTAAGCACCTGGTTTTTTTATTGCACTTAACTATTTTACTTTTTTAAATTATTTTTTTGTTACATTAATTTTATTAAATTTAAGATAGCCATTTTATTAAGAATAATTTGCTGACAATTTTGACAGGTCGGCAACCAGTTTTGGATAATTATTTTTAAAGTTGTTTAAGTTTAAAGTTTAGGATGGGTGGTGAAGTGCAGTAGAGTAAGCGCGTAGAGCTATTTCATTTGTCTTATATTTGTGGGACACCTGTATAGTCAATAGTCAATACTACATATTTTTAAAGTTGTTCAATAATTCTACAAGCTATTAACTAAATTTATCAGATAGTATATATTATTTTAAGTTTACATTTTAGAATATTTTAAATGGCGAAAAAAAAATAATGCTGATAACGTTTTACGAATGAACTTAGTTCTATCAACCGGTCTAAAGATCTGAATGTGCTGTCGACCGATGAAGCTGCTGATTTTTTACAAAAAATACAAAGTTAAACTTTATATAGTTTACGCATGTGCGCTTTCGACTATTGGTACCTAACTGAGTTAACTCAGTTAAGAGTATCCACACTTCATGCAGATACATCAATATATGGATAAGTCCTGATTAAGACTATACTATCATCATATATCGCAAGGAGATTATAGATCAGAAATAGTCATATAATTATATGTTCTGACCAGTTCGGTATCTGGCCTTAATCGATTTAATGGCAACATTTATCAATATTTAACATTTCTCATAAATCAATTTCTGTGGTTCGCCAGTAAGTAAGTGCCTACCTAACAAATTATTTTGACTATCCTTATATATATCGTTATACCTTATAAATACCTTCATGCCACTTGATGTATCTGCATGAAGTGTGGATACTCTTAACTTTATTTGCAGAATAACTCTCCATAACTCTCCTCCATAATCCATATCTATTATCTCTAATCTTATATATACCTATGTATGTATACCTACAACCATTAGTATATCATAATTTTTTTAGATTAAAACAATTCAACTAGTTTACCACAGTTATAGACGACTTTCAAGTACATCCTTGAAGCAGGTTTACAAGGATTACCAAAAGTGGCAGCATCTGCCGCTAGTTTACAGTTCCTTTTTCCATGACAGACTGTCATTACAGTTTCCGTGGCGTAGCTCACTAGACACGCTGTAACAGAACCATAAAATGTGAGTGCAAAGCGCTAAATGTGTGTATGCATATAATATGATTTATGAACTATAGTCTTTATCTTTACTTTCTTCAGGCACGCCTTGTGGCTGAGGACATTGTATGCTCTCGTACTCTGTCCGACCATAACTGGCCGAAAATATGGCTAGTCTAAAATTTGGATTGCATTGTAACTGAACTACTTCATTTTCACATGCTACTTTACTTCTAAACTCAACTGTAAAATAATACATTATTTTTTTAAAATTATATTATTTCAAAATTATTTTTGTAAATTAGGTACATCCATTTTGGGCATTAACTATAAATTATTATTTATGTTGTTTAAGAAAATCACAGAAAAATACTAACAGTAAGTTGTATTTTTAATAATTATATTTAAAATTTTAATCTCAGTTATTATTAATGATAAATCACATATATTCTTTTTAAAAATCGAATTAAATACACATGTTATATATGAATATATTTAACTGCTAATTCGAATGTATAAGAAAAATGTCTTTAAAAACATAATAATTTTTACTAAATTAGCAAAATGTTTCTACATTTAGTAACATACATAGGCAAGTTATCACAACCCTCTTTTGTTACAAAGTTGTTAACTTACTAACATCGATCGAGTACTCAATACACGTGCATAACCTTTCTTTAAATAGCATATAGTAACTTCATTATTACTTTATAGAATGTACAGCTTCGAGTCGTAACTTGTAACTGACTTACTTTAGAAAGGTTCTGAAGAATTTTATAACCGATATATAATTATCTAACCGATCAAATATCCCTTTGGTTTTGAAGTAGGAAAGGAGAATGCCATACTTGGTAACTATTGACAAATATTTAATTTTCAATTTCAAATTTCGATGCATTTTACTATTATCACTTTAACAATAAGAATAATACATACTTAAGAATATAATATATATAAACAAACAAATGTTGCCGAAAACAGAAACAAAACATAAACCCTTTGATGTTTACCGCTTTCGAGCGGACACGAAAATGTCTTTAAAAACACAAATTTTGTGTCGCGAATTTGGATAATGTCGTGGAATTGTTTCCATTTTGTCTCTTATTTGTCGCAATTTTGTCGGAAAACAGAAAGTTGCTGTTTTGTCGGCTTGGTGTAAACCCGGCATAATGATTGAATTGTAACATCAACTGGATGACTTTAACAATTAAATTATAATCTATTGAAATTTTTAATTTACAAATAACTATGGCAATATTACAAATATTACATAATATACTTTTCGAATTTTTTTCATTGAACCCTAAGCAGGATTTTCTAATATTTTTTAAGTCGTCTTCAATTATCTAACCGTCCAAATGTTTTGTATATTTTATAAAATGTATTTTAAACAGAGTTTCTCATATTATTTTCTTTGCTGAATTCAGACTTGATCTTAGAGTTAATAAAGAAATTGTAGTTTTTTAACAAAATAAAAATTCTGGTTTTTGTTTTATAAGTTGTTAACATCTTTGGGGTATTTAGAAAACTATTTTAATGTGGATTAAGGCCAAAGTTGTAGTACTGAACTTTACAACTGTAGTAGAGTTGTAAAAAATACGTGGATGTTGTTAATTAATGATTAACTATTAGAAAAATAGATAAAAGATTTTAATTAATTATATGTGACTTGTAGTGTAACTTTTGATTGGGATGGAACATTTATTTTATAGTGTTTGTGAGTTGTATTCGACATTAGGAAATATTAGTGTTAGAAAATGCGTTCACCACCTTAATATATATCATAATTAAATTCCTGCCGTTTCAAAGTAGATTAAGGCTTGAATTCAAATAAGACAAAGAATTAAAAAGAAGGTAGACATAGAGGAATTTAATTTGACGTAATTCCAATGGGTTGTTCGCAAAATAGAATATATCTAAATATACTTAAACAATTGTGTTTTATTACACTATTACTATCTGAATCAGTGAATCACTAATAATTATGCTGATAATTAGTTAAAGAATCAATTGCTAAGTATTATCCGAAAATTTAAATTGATTTTATCATGATTTAAAAATGTAATGTTGAATAGATTCCAAAATGAATTATCATTTTATTAACTTAATTTTATGTATTTATCAATACTGCTCTTATCCATTTAAATAAAAATATTTCCGGAACTCAGAGACAACGGTGACTGTTTCAATTTAAACACTTATAAAAAAAGTTTTATAAAAAAAAGTACCGGTAGAGATGTTTAAGAAATAATCGGGAGATAAAGTGAATTTTTGTGTAAACATTTTATTTTAAAGGTTTTAATTATAACTGTTTTAATGGAAATAAAAAATAAAAGGTTACACGCAACTGTTTAAAAACACATTTCAATTAATTATACTAAATAAAATTACTTAACATTACAGAATGAGTACAACATTTAAAACACAACCTTAAAATAACAGTAAAAAACAAAAAATTAAAATAGTTATAATTGATCCCTAACACGTATTTTTTTTTAAAAGCTTAAGAAAAAAATGGCAAATGTGCGTTAAATGATTTTACCTAAGTCGCGTGCAACAAATTATTTAATTACAATTAATTATGCATTCAAATTATAAAAAAAATTATTAAAATTAAAATAGGGATATTTTTTTGGACTTGATAAATAACTTTAATGATATAAAAAAAGACCAAGCAACTAGTATTTAATAAAATATTAACTGAATAAGTGTAATAGTTAAATTCCCCCTAGCATTAGAACTCCGATCAACCGCAATCAACTTTGACGTAGTATAACTCGTAGTTATTTTTATTTCTTTCGCTAATTTAAACAATTGATATATTTTGAATTATACATTTTTTGTAATCATGGTGGCATATTTATTTGAGTGACCTGGGGATTAAATCTCCAATTAACTTTTATTATATTTATGATTTCAATGACTTAGGGTGTGCTAATTGATAACCGAACAATCCGGTATAAAATATTATCAAAACATCTCTCTATTAAAAAGCCCCTAGTTCGTGATCAATAAATAAGTGTTGGATTCCAAAACTTTAGTTTTGTACTGTAAGGTCAATGTGAAGGTTTTCGGGTCTGTAAAGGTAACTGTAGCGATTTATGCCTACAGTCTTTACCGGTCGATTGCTAACACGAAAGTTAATAGCCATTAGTTGTTGTCGTTTTTATGCTAATCGTATATACTTTTGACTTACCTACCACTATCAGAACTGCTGTAACATGTGCGTGGTGACTGGGGTCTAATGGTTTGTTATTTAATTATTCGTACGGCTCAGTGTTGTGTTATTTCTGGATAATACACTAAAAAATGTATCTAATGACCAATAAATGTTTGAGTACCTTCGTGACTGATAGGCAATATAAAATAGACATACGCGTGAATGTTATCGAATATTTCATAAACACGAAAGGCTCACATTCTAGCCAGTTCTAGAAACATCTGTAATGTTGTTATATAAGTGACGTGACTGTTGGAGTAACAATGGTATTATGTATGGATATCTGTATTTATATAAAAACATTAACTAATAAAAATTTTAATTTTAGTGTAAAAAATGTTCTTGCCAAGTAAATATTTACTATATTAAGTAATATTTTCAGTTTACTACCGGATATGATATTACAACTTTATAGTGTTATAAGGATATTTACTTTTATTAGCCTATTTTACACAGAAAGAAGTAGAGGGTTTTTGTTGTGATACCCTACTTTTAATTTCCACTCCAATTTACTTTACATTATTAATATAATTTTTGCAAAACAAACATGTACAGTTTACAACGTTATTTCAATTTTTAACTACAAGTATTTCAATTTTTTTTTTGTAATTTACAAACTAATAATTTAAAATTATATATTTTCTTATATAAGCCTAAATTATAACACTTTGATGTTGTATGTAATTTTAATAAAATTAAACCGCAGGATGGTTAAATAAACTTTGCAATAACTTGGCTGATAACGTGGGAATCTTATTGCCATATATTTTACCTCGAGCCGCTCGATTCCAATTATTATTATAGGTGTAGACTACTATATAAAGCTGTCGACGTATGCGGCTAAAATAATGTAAATTATATAGCCGAAACCCCAAGTGTGGTTGCCGCCAACGTTCGGTTTCCTTTCCTATGGGGCTCATATAGACACAAAATGTAAGTTTATGTAAATCTCGGACCGCAGTTGTGTATCATTTGATTCGTATGATTAATATGCTAAATAAGTTTGGCATGTCATAGAAAGTATATACGACGATCTCGTTTAAACTTTTAAAAGTAACTATATAACATAGATTGCATAATCCGTATAAAAGTTGTTAATATTGTTTGGATAATTGTTTTTTCCTTGCATAAATTCGTAGAAATACGGTCTATAAACTATATACACCGTATGTACCTACATACGTAGGTATACGTACATATTATGAAAACGTATAATTAATAAGAATAATAAAGATAGGTACTTCAATACAGTTCAAATAATAAATAAAATAAAACATACGTGCATCACGGAACTCAGATTGAGGCTTACATAGGCGAGCACTGGGAACACTTACAAGTTATTACGAAATATGAAATGTCAATTTTGGTTTCGCTTTATAAATCAATTTCTTTGGCTATAAATATTTGCTTTAGGCTCCTCTTAATCAGTAGATTATAAAAAATAAAAACTTTTGAAATTTTCTCATTTTTTTTGGAGGAGAAATGAAACAGACTACCAAATTCTGGTTGCGCCACTACTTTCAACATAATATAATAATGAGTTATTATTTGCAATTTTATAATAGATGAAACCCGGCAACAAAACTAGATTTTTAAGTGCTGTGTATAAAATAATTATTTAATACAAATTAAATAATAAAACAGTTTAAATGATATTTGTTTGTATTAATTTGTTTATGTTGTAGTTAAAAGTGTTACTTAACTTTTTTTGTATAAAACAACATACATATTTGATATTGGATAAAATATTTATTTATTGGATGTATTTATTTATTTATTTAAGGTTGTCTTATTTAATGTTAAATGCTAGAGTATGACAACATTAGTTTATTTTGAAGTACTTAAGTACTTTTGTTTATTCTAATAAAAAAAATGTCTTGTGTACTTTATAACTATTTGATGATAATTTCGACATCTATAGTATTTTCTATTTGCAGTCGTACATAATGTATTGTTCATTTCTATTAAACATAATAATTCCTAATTTATTTATGTTTTCCATAGGCATGAGTGTAATAAATTTAAGCCAAACAGTATTTACACATGTGTGGTCATAAATCTAAAATTGGTGTAGAATGGAGGGTTCTTCCGTTCCTTGGAAAATGTTTATTATCTGAGGCATAACCATAACGCTTTAACAATGATCCGATTACAAAAGTTTTTGGGTTCAGCAAACGATAAAACGAAACATATATAGCATTATTTTTATAAAAAGTATGCAAACAATGTGATGTTTCTAATAAATAACAAATTTTAAAATACTTAAAAATAATATACTAAGAATCAAAAATAGTATTAAGGTTTAACTGTTGTTTCTTTAGGTTGAACAGAGTGTCAAACCTTATTATAAATTATAATCGAGGGTGCCTAAATTAAAAATTCGTTATGACAAAACTGATTACCTAATGTAGTTACTAAAATATAAATTGTGTAATTAAATTGTCTAGAGTCTAGCTATAGAGGCAAGTGATTTTTTTCTAATGACGATTCTAGAATAAATGTACTTATAAAAATGAGTCTTTAAACTCCTAATATGTGATGAAAATTACCAAATATCATCACAAATATAATAAAATATCAGAAGATCTGTGAATATCTTAAATAACAAAATTATAAATTAGAACCTAACCAAACAAATAATTAAAATTAAATTTAAAGTTGCTTTGAGTTGCCATGAGAAATGACAATTATTTATTGTAAACTATATATTATTGTGACAATAAATCTAACTAACAGTATTATGTTTAATTAACTATTAAGGTTATCCGTTATTCTAATATTAACCTTAGTCGCTTGAAGACGAAATAACCTTCATTGTTTTAGTATAATACTGAACTACTTACATGGTCGACATTTGTAATCCACTTGAACAAACTTTGGATGACCTGGGCAAGGGTCGTATTTGCCAACAACAGACGGCTGAACTCTGCATTGCTGTTTTTTCTGACACGCCTCTACCACTGTTTGCAGAAGTGAATACTAAGCAAATAAATAAATGTTAGACAGAAAGTATTTTGAGTTGCGTGGCTTATCATTGTAAGTGAATATAAAATGTAATTTTTTAATTTTAATTAAAAAGACCTGTTAAGTCAACTCAAAAAATGTAATATATTCTAATTCTGTACAAATACATTTAAGTGTAATAATTTACAATTTAAATCAAACAGTATCCAGGAGCCATTATTGATAATTGTTTCATTATAAGCAATAAGAAACAATTATGTTGACAATGTATGCTTACATTTTTTTAAAATTAATTAACAAAATACCAAATATCAGTCGCCGTTTCTAAATATTTTAGAACAGTAAAAATGTCAATTTTTATTTGTGTAAACTGTTTTAAACTTGGTGATTTTTATAATTTATATTTAGATATGATTAGCTTTAATGTATAATAATTGTGTTTTTTTGTGGGCATCTGGATTCAAATGCATGTACATTGAAAAGGAATTCGAAATTTTGCTTTACAGAATGTAAGTGTTGACAAGTTTTTATGTTCGGTAACACACAGACAATCATCCTTTTATGCCGCGCCCGTTACGTACAAGGCGATTAGGTACGTGTCTGGTATACATTTTGAGGGATTTTTCTAAGGAGACACCACGTCATTGGGACGTTGTTTCGTAGATATAAATCACACGTTTATAATAAATACAAGCTTCAAGAATAAAGAAAAGAGCTTTGTATTCTAATTTTTGTTTTTGAAACTTGTCTTTAGCGTGTGTCCGGATATCAAGAATGAAACGCAGAGTTTCTATAATATGTATAAAATACAACGAGAGAAAAACTGCTTTATACAAAATGTTTATAAATAATTATAAATAGAAGCTTTATATATAATATATATCATACAGAAAGGTTAATATTTTTTTCATTTATTAATAAAGTGTAACTTAGTAAAGTGTTTTGTAAATATAAAGATGTTAGAAGTGTCTAATATTACTTGTATTTAATTCTGTGTCATTTGATTTTGATCAAATTCAGGTTACATTTACTCGACGTCTTGAACAAAAAATGTTAATCACATAAAAATATTGTGAAATTATTTGATACCTACTGATTTTATTTGATACGTTACAAATAAAATGCTAAGTCTATGGTTTTTACTTATTTCTTCACGGTTCTTTTTGAACGATTATTTATACCTTTTTTTACCGTATCACATATTATGTACATACACAATTCCAACACTAAAATAAAATAAATAGTTACGAAAAGCTCTTAGAACAAAACCTTTATATTGGATGTAAACAACCTCTACGACAGCGAAGTAAAGAGGCAAAAAGAGAGGTTTTTTTTAAGTCAAAATAATTGTATACATTATTTATGAAATCTTCGGATGTTTTTCATTTTTATCGTAGACTTATTGACTTTCTCAGATATTTTTGTTCACCATACGTACGTTGTAAATTTATTTAAATAAACTGGAAATTACATTTAGAATATATACGAGTCATAACGTTAGATATAAAACGATAGCATTAAAAGTCATGTTTATAATTTATATGTGAAGCACAGTTAACAATTATTGATCTTCATTTAATATTAATCTCTACTTTATTTCAATATGTATTATGTTAATACGTCACACCATTACAATATTATGTTTTAAGGGACCAAGGGGTAGATTTGAATCAAGGGGTTTAATTGGATAAAGCTGATATAATAATTTTCACTCTGCTGAAAATATCAAGAAAATAGTTATTAAATAGTCACATTGTTTGAATTATTGTGTTGTGTTATTAGCGGACTGATTATGTAATAAACAAAAATAATTTAGTCATAGACGTAATTTTTTAAATTTTATTATTTTTTTTCGCAAGAAGTTTTTTTACTTCAATATTAAGTACAAAATAATGTATTCAAATCCAAAATGTTGTTTTTTATCAATGTTTTCAACCTTACATTGATTTATTGTAATTTTTTTATCTGATATATTTTATCTAAATATTAATAATTATGAAGTTGGGTGGACTTGAATTTGCGACCATGAGGTAAATTTGAATATTTTACTCCGTAGAAAATTCATAGCATAGTTTTAAATAAAATAAATAATTTGAATTGTACATATTTTAATATATTAATACGACACATTCAAACTTGTCCCCCGTATATTCATGTGTACCCTATAACCGGGGTAGATTTAAATAAAATTAAAGATTCATTTAAAAATTGATTGATTATACATTTATTTTAAACTTCATTGGCGAGGTTGGGAATAGTATTATAATGTGTACAAATCGTTAAACTACAGGTTGGAACTCAAACATGAAATTTTCCATAAGATAAAATTAAGAAAAATAATTGTATGAGTTACCTGTAGAGCTTGAGGCCAACTACAACTGCTATTGAATATGTGAGAGAAACTGGAGTCCGTGCATGGGAGCACTGAAGATCCAGGCGTGTATTGGGCAGTTTGTACAGATATTATAGTACCCGTCGGACATGTGAGCGCCATTGACTGGGCTTCACAACCCACCCTGTGATATGTCCTGAGCGTGCCGGTCAATAAAGCTGAAAAACAAAACAAAATAAGGCCATTAAAAAAAAAGTTGTTTATGAATCGTTAAGTGCATTACGAAGTAATAAGTATGATGGATGAGGGAGAAATGTACAACGGATATTATTATATGCTTGGAGTGTTTAAGGTTCCTTGTTCAGGATGTGTCCTCCCACAGGGCTCACACGAACTTTTGCGTGTGACGTATCAATATTTCGGGCGTTACCTTTTTATTTGCCTAATGGATTCACACTAACATGGAAAGGAAGATGGGAAAGGGTTTAGTGGATTTATACGACTGCTATTTTTCATCACGCTCTGTTCCGTTCCAAACCATTTACACAGTAGTTTCCATACAATTTTCTCGGGTTCGCAATCATTTTTCATTATTTTTATAGCTACCTATGCACTATATGAGGTATAAGATGCATCCACCAAAAATCAATAAAAATATCTGTCTTATTACTATTAGTATGTAGCAATTTGTTTTTTTCCTATTTACAACAAGCTTTTAAAGTTATCAATATCAATTTTTTTTTCATATCAATTAGCATACTTAATTGTTTTTTTAAAAATCAAGAAAGTAATTTCTTGGACCTTGGTTGTCATTGTGTTATAAAAAAGAATATATTAACAACATATTTTTAAAGTTTGTAAGTTTTTGAAAAGCATATTACTTATTAGCTGTGTAACGAGGGTCATAAGGATTTGACAGATTTACATACATTATGTATACAAACTGATCCATTTAATAAGACACTCATTTTCTCTGAAAATAATTACAATTTTGTAGTGTTCTCTCTGAAGACATTTTAATTAATGTTATTTTACAGTATTAAGCAATACTAAAATTTATATATTTTTTGGTAAATTCTGGAGTTCTACTATTAAAACTTAAACGGTATCGTAAATGTTGTATTATTTTTTAAAATTAAAAATAATTTAGTAAAAGAGTGTTGATAACCAGTTATGAATAACTATTTAAAATTTATTACGAAGGGAAGGGTAGAGTCTAGTATTATTTTTATTTGCGCGCCTTACTCAGCCGCACTCCGCCTCCCATTATAATTTTTAAACCATGACTGTAACGCGTTTTGGTTTCTGTGCAGATGCGTTTTTTCGGTATAAAGAACTTAAATTTTAAATGTACTTTGGTCATTCTATGCCAAATCACCTAATGTGTGTGCGAGTGGATTTTTGAAATGCCTCAAGCTTTCATATCTTGGTTCATGTCATAAAAAGTTATAGGTTCTTAAGTATAGCACTTTTTAATAAAATACCAAACTTTAAGATAACGTACACAAAAAAAAAAATATGTTAAAAATAGTTATGAATCAAACAAACTAAACTATACAAAATGTGTTATTTAATGTGTATAATAATTTATACATACAGTAGGTATACTATTTTAATAGAATTTTCTTAGCTGTTTTGTTACGTTAAATATTGAACTAATAGATTTTTATGTGTCAAAAAAATATTATAATGTGTTCATCAATGTTCGGAGTGAAGTTAAAAGAAAATCATTAAACGCTCAGTATTACCACTAAGAAATAAAAAATGGTACTATAAAAACTTAATTCATGGCATCAGTGTCGGCTTTTTTGTAACACTAGGTATTTTTTTTAAATAATCGTTTTCTTTTCACACTTTTTTTTACTAAATAAATAATCTGTATTTATTGTCTTTGTGGGGATTTGTTTGTTAAATTCGTTTAAGTAAATTAATCAAAAACTAAAGCGATAAGTCAATACGTTAAAATGTATAACTCATGATGATTGGAAGAATGGAAAAACGTGCAGGTCTGGGCCTAAATTACTTGTTTGCGTAAATCGTAGGCGCGTTTTGGGCGCTATTATGTTAATTGAAATACAGCTCAATTAAATTCGATTTCAATTGAAACTTCCTTATCCTAAGCGCTTTATGTTAATCAATCAACATTTCTGCTTCCTGCGTTAGACGTTTCGGGTGGTATGTGGTCCGTGAACCCGAATAGTCCCACATCATGCATATTATACGAATTTGGTTATTTTTCTTGACGGACGAATCGTTATGTCGATCCGCTATTATTATTTTTATTGAAGTAAACAACAGCATCTGCCTCTGTATAAACTTTAATATTTAGAGAGAAAATAATGCATGTGCTAAACATTTTATTAACAGCAATGCTTTTCTGAGCATATTTTATTTATGCATTTTAGTAATAAATAACAATTTGTATTTGCTGTATATAGCTCAATACAATTTTTTATAGCTAAAAATAATAAATAGGCGATACTTACTTACTTTTTCAGTTTTTATACTATGCAAATAACAAATAAATAAAATATTTAATGTAAAAAATATTTCCTTCCCAATGGCCTTTGCTTCCGATGGCTATTAAAAATAAAAATAAATTACATCCAAATAGCATTAATATGTTCTCGAGAAATCACAGTTCAAATTGATAAAGCGAGTAACGCTGTACAATTTATATAAAAAGTTCTTTTATTTTTAACTTAGTAGCTAAGCCGATCAAATAAAATTTATAACCCTTGAATATTAACAAATATATTTCTTTTCGCCGAAATAATAGTTTTGTTTTTATTATCATTAAGCATAACATATTATAATGGTATATTATATTTTCTAAACATGCGTTTGTAAATAAATAAAAATAACTTTTTATATTGCGCCAAGAAGAAATTTCATTTTTGGTTTAACCTTTCGAGTCGTGCATTGTTTTGGTGGTCATAAACCAAACGGCATTAAGGGTAAAACTGGTCATGTAGCGTTGTTAATTAAATAAATAAAATTAAAATTGTCAGCCCTTGCACGGCGGGATGTAATAAATAGTACCTATATTATTATATTGCGGTTCATTGTTTTAGCTGCGTATTTCTAAATAGTTTAAATGTATTTTACCAAAGAGAATTTTACACACGTCAGACGGCATGACACTTTTTTTGAAATTAATTGACTCTTTAAAAACGAATAAAGTTTTGTATCCGAGGGATTCATTGAACGTTATTGATGATAGGTACACGCACCAACGTAGTTACTAAGTTGTGTCATTTAGAAATATAACATATACTTTTTCATTGATTCATGATACCCAAATTAAAGTATTTTTAATTATATAATAGGTAAAAAAATGTATATTTTTCATTCAATGAGCTTTTGATTAGTATGAGAAAACCTTTTTTTGGAATATTTAATTTATTATACGAATAAGTTTGAAGATTTGAGATTATAGAGATACTATATAATTATTATACAGTGAAAAATGTAAAAAATGATCATTCCTATCTACAATTGTTGTTAAATTGCACTTAATTTAAATAAATTGAGTTAAATATTATTTAAAGTTAAGTTGTTTGTTTCGTTTTTCTATTAATATAGCTGCAATTTGTTTTAAAATTACAATCTTACAAATTATTCCATCGAAGACAAGTGTTTCCTACTCGAACAAAATATACATCGTTATAAAAAATATTTATCATTTCATAATAGGATTATTGGATTATATGTAGTTTGTATTTTTGTTAATGAATTATAAGCCAACGGATTTCATATATTTTCTAGTATATAAGGCTTTGTGAAAGCTTTAGCGATTATATTGGTATAAAATAAACATTTCACAGTTTCAATTTACTAAAATTTCTATCTTTGAAATATTGTTCCGTACTGTATTCTACTATATTGTTATGTACTAAATTTGCTCTCCAATCTAAATGTATCAAGATCGCATGATTTGCTTAAAATTATGATTTAACTGTTTATAAAATGATTTATAAGCAGTTAATTAGTAGGTACGATGAATGTATTATATAGCAACAAGACCAACAGACAAAATTATAACACAGAAAAATATTTTTGCAGCCGAAAAGGTTGCGCCAGCAATACTAATCGTTCTCGTTAATCATGCTAACGCAGCCATATCAATAAAAGAGATATATTATGGCGATTAATAAACGGACCTTTCCTTTTTAAGAGGGGCTAACGTTTTCAGTAACCAATTACCAATTGATACACAATACAGGTATTTATTTTATGCGATTTATAATATTGTAGGTACGTTTTAAAAGTTACCTATACCTACATACAACACACCAAACAACTCAGAATGAAATAATTGATCAGCCAAAAACTGTTGTTTACAAATGTTGGTACTATATCCAGCGACACGGTTGCGGTGCGGATCTATGTAGAAAAACCGTAGCGCTCATGACCGTGTCCGTGTATACACAATCCCAGTATAGAACAATTCCATTTAACCCGTGCAAATTTAAACATTTTATCGGCCAACTTTTGCGATTCAACGGCTGGACATCATTGTTCATATGCGGTCTTAGTAAATTGGCAAAGTAGTGTAGATGCGTAAAGTGTTCATACAAAAATTATATTGGTTTAATGCTTTTCTAGTTACAAGTAAAAGTGTAAATTTTCGAAGCCTCCTCCTCGAGATACATTTTTTGGAAAAAAAATAACATGTGATGTAATAAAAAAATTTTTGATGGCAGCGTCGGTGAAGAGTTGTGATGGCGAGTCCCCACCACTACTACAGTCGTCTGCCACGACTATAAATATTAGGTATAGGAGTGGGAATACGACGGTAGTTAAAGTCTGTTTCCTACTAGAAGTTTTAATTTTTTTGTTGAGACTCTTACACGCTCTACTATTATAATTAACAACATTAGTTATGTATGAAAGATTTGGTATGGGATCATTATACCATAATTATTTATGCGAATAACCCACTATAGAATCAATTTTAATTAGGGATCGGAAAAAAACTGTCAACTTTTGTGTTTAAGAAGTATATGTTTAGGTTTTAGTGTTTTAAGTATATAATACGTTTCTATTGTCATCAACATCAGCTTAACGGGCCTTTAAGGGATGATGGTTTCAAGACGGATTCGCTGTCCACTATGGGTCGTCAGTCCGTCGCCGGAGAGGGGAGGGGCGGCTCCTTTCCACCGGATGATTACTTGTCCGGCAAACGGAGCGCCCGTGACCGAGTGTCGAACCGGCG